ACAGATTTTATTAATCATGAGGTTTGTTAATTTGTACTTTATGACGTTTTAATTTCTGTAGTGACTTTTACTAGGTTTGAGGACCTTGAAGAAACTTCAGTCAGTGTAGCTTGTTGTGGTTTGTTTATATGTTGCATTTTCTTTAACAGTTTCTGTTATAACTCTTAACACTTGGGTACATATTGCTACCACCTTTTTGTAAAATCCCTCTTTAAAACACTGAGTCATCAGCTTCAAGTGGTGGCCTAGTAAAGAGGATATGCTGTTTCTAATAACTGGAATCGTGAGGCCTTAGCTTTGACTTCTGTTCTGGAGAAGTTGGAGTATACTTTTATATAGTCTGAGACATTTTATGTCCTGATTTGAAAACTGGTTAGTGTCTGTTTTACTGACTTTTTCCAGAAAATGACGGGAAATCCTCCTAAATTTGAGACCCATAAATTCCTATTTAATGTGTTCTCTGTCTTGGTTTAAGAGAAATGGGTTTCTGTACATTCTGAGAAGAGCATTCATATATGTCAATATTGTGTAATATTGGAGGTACTCAAAGAATGTACTGCTCATTAGGGTTTATACCACTTCTCTCTTAGTTTCTTTTTCTTTTTTTCTCTTTCAGTACAAATTTCCTTATACTTTTCTTTTCCTGACCAAATTTTGATTAGGAATTCTTGGACGGTTTGTTTATCCAGGTAGTGTAATTTCAATATATTATGCAAAACTGTCCAAGACTTGTATCTGAAGGCATATAAGATTCAGGATAACATAAGGGAAATATGTTCAGCTTTTTTGGTGGCAGTATAACTTACCTGAATAAAGAGGCCTGAGCCTCAGAGATTCTGTTTATTTTAGTTGTAATGAGCTCAAGGTCTGTATCTTCTATAGGTTGTATAAAACTTTGTTCCAATAACATAATGAATCATCTTAATGCTATGTGCTGATGAAATAGCTACAATTTTTAGTATACTGCAATATTGTATTGATTCAGACACTGAGCTTTATCTTAATCTCCTTTGTCAGGTTTCATAGCTTGCAACAGTTCCCTTATTAAGCAGTTTGTTATGGGAGGTTTTTTGGGTGGGAATTATTAATTTCATACAGTTTTAAAATGCATCTTGTTCACTTATGCAAACATTATTTCACCATGCTGGCCATTATTTCAACAAATTAAACTTGATTATTTATTATCTCTCTGATAGGAACTCAAAACATAAGTAGCTTGATGTCCAATTACTATTCAACCTGATGTCAAAATGAGCTGTTTTTCTATGAATTGACAAAGTTTGCTTACACTGTAGAATAATTTCCTCGCTGTTTGTTCAGTTTGAAACCTCTTGGAAACTTAAGTATATTTATGCATTTAAAAACTAAATTAATAAATTTCTCTGAAGCACAGAGAAGGCTCCCAATGCATACATCTTTTCCAAACTCAGATCGTGGTTGCATGCCACAGTCTGCTTTCAGTTATAAATGCACCCCTTACTGTCATACGTGTGGAGATACTTGAGCAATGTTTATGGGTCCACCATGTCAGGGAATCTCAGCTTCCCCTACCTACCCGCTTCACTAATCAGTCATGTGGTTTCAAACAAGAAAATGTTTTCGTTTTACCCAAATTCTTAACTGAAGCAGTGATTTTGCCTGGAAGATGAAAGGAGAAGTGCATCAGACTGCTGGCTAGCAAGTTGTGTACAAACGTGTACAATGTTGCATGAGTCTAAGGGTGCTGCTTATGAAATTAAGATTACTGCTTTAATGTGTTACTGAATTGGAACTTGGACTGCCAGTATCCAGAAACTTGGCACTGCAAGAAGCTATGATTGTTAATGAGATACAAGGAAGAAAAATCACTGAACTGATAGGGTGGAGGTGCCCTGCCCTGTAATTATTTCTATCTGGATTTAGCTTCTTGACTTAACATATTCAGTCTCAGTTTATATATATATATGAAACAGATCATATGAGACTGAACATGGTAAGTATGTGTATATGTACATACACATATATATGCTTAAATATTTTAGTGTATATATATGTGTAAAAACACTCGTGGGGAACTTCAAATAAATAAGACTGTTAACTGATTTTTCCCAGTCTGTTCCTTTGATTATGCCAGGATTTCCTTGACTGGCATCAGAAAGAAAATCTGTTTTTCAGAATGGGGTATGCAAGAAATTCTCTTAACTAAACGGCAAACAAATATCAGCTATCAGGGAAATTAAATTGACTTTGAAATAGTGGAAGAGGAACTGGTGGCTGGGTGACCTCAAATGAGATGCTCCCAGATGAGATGTTCCCACCTCTCTGCATTGCTCCTGCAGTATGCCTTAGACAGGCAGAAGATGCATTCCAAAAATCAGGGTAGTCCAGTTTGTTTGTTGGTTTTTGTTTTATTTCTTTTTTTTTCTCTGCACTAAAAGCAGGATCTGCCTCAAGTTTTACTGATCTTTTTGTGCAGCAGAATTAATTTTCAATTCATTTCAGATTTTTATTGTTTTTTTTTTTTTTTTTACACATCAGGCAATATTGAGCTGCTTACAGGTAGTTTCTATAGACCTGTCTACAGTGTCAGATAATTATGCTGCTGGTTGATCTGGAGAGGAAATAAAAGGTGCGGGGAGAGGGCTGATCTGTAGAATTATAGTGTTCCTAATGCCCTTCTGATCTGTGGTTGTACCAAAACATTTAATTTGTCATTTTAAAGTGCAGGTATGAGGTAAACATGTTGGCTTGGTTCTGTGTGTTTGATTAAAAGGAAAAATAATAATTCATCCTGCCTCAGTGAAGTTGCCCACCATAGCTGAGATCTTCTGCATGAAACACTCCCCAAAGCACAGGAAAGGTAGAAAGTTAGCATGTGAGACTCCTCCCTGGTTAGGTGACTCAGGAATAGGAATTTCCTAGAGAATGTGTCTTCAAGATCACCAGATCATTAAATACTTGTCTTTCATCCACTGATAAGATTGTTTTTCTTCACCTAGTTGAATTCTTCGGGGTTTTCTCCAAAATCTTTATTTAAAGTATTTAAATGACCTCCTAATCCTGTACTGAAAAATAAAAAAAAAAATAAAATAAATAAATACATTCCATATTGAAATATCAGTTGTATCTCTCTTGCCGTTTTGTCTTTAAAGATTTAAAGCCTAATAAGTTAATGGTAAATTAATTTACGAATAGGATAATAGGATTTTGGGCTGGAGCTGCATGCTGCCTTTCTATCGGAAATTTGCGGTACTTAAAGCTACTGTAGTAGAGATTTTGTCTGTACCTTCGAAGGTAAGTGTTCCTCTAAAATAACACTCTGGTATTAAAAAAACTATGGTTTTGCTCCCTCATTTCTCAGTATTTGTTGAAACAAGTGTCTTCTAGCTTTCATTACTGTTTTTGTAACCTTTGTTGCCATCACTTCCAATGTATTTATCACTTGCCATGCTGCGTGAAACCACTTATACGTTGAGATTGTGTGTGGCAGGAAGAGCTTTATGTTTTATTCAGACTTTGATACCTGGGAAGATATAATTTTGTTTCCCTTTCTCTACAGCTTTCAGCTGTAGCTTTATATACGTGTAGTTTTAAGGTAATGTGATGTGTTTCAGTGTGAGATTAGATACCAGTTCAATTCCCTGTGAAATGTTCAAGTAAATAGTTTTATTATATTTTATTGAAATACAAAAGGCATACATCCAGCAAATATATTTGGTAATTAATAGTTGAGAGTGATAAATACAGTCATGAATAATCATTATTAAAATACACCTTTTAAAATGACTAGTTTTTTAATCTGACTGGTGATTACTAGTACAAATTGAAATACACTAAACACATACAAAAATACATTTGTGGTGAAAAAAAATCGAATGCTTTCAGCATTCTTAATGCATTCTTAACTTAGGTGAGGAAGAGTGAAAAGCTAGTGTTTGTTGGCAGGGATGACATCCAGTGCGCTGCCAGAAGTATTTGTAGAATTTTATTCTAGCATAACTGTGTAAAACCACATCTTGGGTTTCAAAAACTCAACCTTGTATTCTTGATGCATTGCCTTCATTTATACACAGTCACCAGCTGTGGTGGTTTTGCAGGCAGATCTTTGCAGTTAATTGTTTGGAATCGCACAGTTCTTTTGAGCATAGATAATACGGTAAACCAAAGATCAGTCTTGGCTGTGGTATCTGTGTGGTATGAAGCAGAAAGAATTGTCACTAAAATCAGCTGCTGTTCTGGATGCATGAAAGTTTCCCATCTGAATGAGGAGCTAGCATCCAGCTTAATCATCAACTTTGTAGAAGCTCAGTTTGAGCTGTAAGTACAACTTCTGGTATGCACCAAGCAGCAAGTATTGGCTGGGTATTGTACAACACTGGTATGACATAAATACAGATATACTCAAGAAAAAGATATTCTAGGTAAAATAATACTTGTATGTGAATCAGGATTGTGCATCCATAGAGCATAAATTACTAAGCCTTAATTACTTAGCATAAAATACTTAATGGCCACACATTGTCTGCTTAGATTCCTTCTAAAAAAACTAAGAGTAACCTTTCAAAATCATTCCTATGTATACCAAGTTCAAAGCATGCATGCTCATGTACGGTTCTGTAACCTACGTGCTCCTGGGAGGGTACTTTTGAGTAGAAATCTCATGTTCTGAAAAGGTGAAACTGCTGGTGTCATGCCTCAGCAAAAAGTTTGACGTATTAGGATAAGCTGGCAGTTTAACCGTCACCAGAAATTAAACAGTGAAGTGTGTATGTATGTATGGATGGATAAATAATTCGTTTTTACAGAAAAACAGGAATCTGATGTTCCTAGAAGCCATTAAAAAATTAATCCCAACTTCTGTGTGATTTGTGGTGTGAGTGCTGTAGAGAGACAGAGTGAAGACTTTCCCAAGCACTTTTCATGTGGCCTTGGGTTGGTGTTTGGTTCACCCAGCTCTTGGTTCTGTGTTTGCCTCTTACGTTGGTGTATGTAAGGGAGGATAAGAAAAGGGCATAGACATGTAAAGTTTCATCCAGTTTTACCAGAATGGTTGTGACATACAGTACTGAAAGAAATAACTTCTCTGCAAAACCTGTTTCTAGCACTTGGCTCTTACATAAAAACACCAATAAGATGTGCAAGCAGTGGAGGCTGAATGTTGGTGTCTTAACACTGGTGACTTCTGACTAGGCAAAGCTGAGACGTGATCAAATAGCTGGTCAATTGGGTCATCTTTTCTTTAATAAAACTTTTTAAAAAATGTGTACTGATTTTAGAGCTAAAATGTTGCGTCTTTAGGAATCCTTGTATTATTTTCATACGCATAGTCAACCTGAAGTCCAGGCTTGAATCATGCAGACCTTCTTTTCTTTAATACCTGTAAGAGAAACTCTTATAAGACATTTGAAAAGCATTTTTTGATTTGAAGATGTATTATTTATTTGCAAGTAATAGGCAGGGTCTCACTAAAGTCAGTTGAGATAATCTCTAGTTCATGGTCAGGAGAATTGAATTAATCCTGAAGTTACTTTTTACATACTAAAACATACCACTACGTACCACTGAGCTCAGAATAAAATTACCGGTTTTCCTCCCTGATGTAACCATGCTGTGTTTCTATATGAAAAAACAAACAAGTGCCACCGATACCTGAATCTGAAGAACATATTTTTGACTGTAAAGTAACGAGAATGCAGTGTGCTGCAAAGGAAGCTCTATCTGAAGTACCTGCAAGAGTCACAGTTACAGCAGACCTGGGGGAAAATAAGCTTTAGGATTTTTGGTTTCTGTGTGTCTTTTTAAATGTCAAGGTGGCAACTGTGCCATGCAGACTGGAAACTGGTAGAACCTAACACCTGGTGTTCTCAAACAAAGAGCTTAGCACTTCCAGCTCTGTACTGCACTTGAGGTCATCTTTACCATGTATTCTGGTAATGAAACACTAGGTCTCTGATACTGGTGGGGGAGATCTAACAGGCTAACTTGTGTTGTGGTATTACTGTAATCCAAAATTCCAATTTGTTCGATGATCCAAGTGACTGACATGAGGGTGAAACAAATGGTAGTCATTGGCTTCACCTCAAATGTCATTTCAGTCATCTTTCTTGGTGGCTGTCAGTTTTCCAGAGGACCGTGCTATGTGTCAGTTACTGGTTTTGATAAGCAAAGAATGAGGTATTTTATGTATTTCTTGGGCAGAATCTATAATGACTTTTAAACTTCATCTGAATTAAATCAATGAAGTGGTCTTTGTCCATGCCAATTAGATTCAGCATTATGAAACAACCTATTCTACCAGTGCTTTATTTCCAAAGCTGCTGGGCTATATCATGTCAAATACTTCTTGGTCCTCTGAGATTTTATCTAAGGTTGTTAAACCTGATTTTTCTGTGGTATCTGTTGCAGCACAGTTCTTTCACAAGCCTAGAAAAGTTTGTGAAAACTCTTTAGATGAGGTGCTTTTTCCTTTCAAGTGGTAGATCCGTTACTGAATTTTGCCAGATAGAAGGAAGCCTACTTGCCCATGCTGTGTACAAGCACAAGTAAATGTTTATACAAAAGCATCTGTTAGACCAACTGAACAGTAATAAACTTTACAGAGAGTTGGACCTAAGACCCTTACAGCTGTAAAGCAAGGTGCTCTGTTTTTCAGCACCTTTGTCACTGAACAGAGAAGGTCCAGCACAGTCACTAACAGGGACATCGGATACTGCAAGAGAAAAGCTGTATTTTGAATGAGGTTGTGTCTTTGGCTTTCGCTTCAAAGAAGTAGAGAGCACATGTGAGGTGAGGTAGTCAGCAGAAAGTCAGGTCGGCAGGAATTTTGAGAGCTTTAGCATCTTTGACTTCCAAATATATCAGGCCAACTGGATGTGGACTTATTGGCCTTATGTCTCAGACTCAGTGAACTGATTCACTTGAGTAGCTCATTGTCATGTTCTTCTTTGTCCCAAAGAAAGATGACTCGCAGTCGTTTTATACCTCATATTATTCTGTTGGTGGAATTAAATGCACCAAATTCCCAGACACCTCTCCATGTGTAGAGACAGCTGTGGTTTTCAGCTGTTTAACTTGTGTTTTCTACTGATCTTAGAGAAAAGGAAGAGCAAGTTCTTCACCTGGACATGAAACATGCTTGTTAGTCCCTGGATGACCAATTAGGTAAAAATCCAACCAAATAAACTCCCTCCAATAACCAAGTTTTTCAGTAGTTTTCCACGTAGTGACCCTGTAATTAAACTGGAAACATTTTTCATGCTTAGGAAGAAACTGAAGGTTATTTTGGCTTCTGCTGGAATGTTATGCTTATTTTCCCATATGCCTTTATAAATACAGAGCTGCATTTATCCTAGATATGTCCTAAAAAGCTGTCACTGCTGTCAGTACACTTTGCAAACCAGAATTAAAGACTGGAATTTTCAGTTTAGCCTAAGAGTTGTAGATATCCACATCCTCCTGAAAACTGAATTCAAGAGCTCTGTTCTGGTTTTAAGGAGTTGTCTCAATTGTGATATGGCAGTGGTGCTCTTTGTTTCAGTTAATGAAAGCTGTGTTGCACATATGTTCTTCTTCCTCTACTGAATTTTTTCACATCATCAGAATTTCATTCAACATAAGGACTCTGATGTAAACACCTGTTTTTAAGTAATGATGAAAAATGGCCAAAACCACCAATTTTTTTTTAAAACCCATTTCTATTTTGTGATTGCCTCCCTTCTCATTAATTTCCTTACTAGATCTTGCAAAGAGGTTTGTCAATATACTTCAGACATTTCAAATAGAGTCTAGATGACACAGGCCCGGTTTTCTCCCACAGATGAGCCATTTTATTCCTTTCATAAAATATGTAATGCTTTTGTAAGTAGTAATTTTAAGTAGTTCAGCTGGTGTGAAAGTTGCTTTACAATTATCCACAGTCACATTTCTTTTAAGAGGAATATAAAGTACAAATTGCAATCATCCGTGCTTTTTTTGTCAGCAGTGAAGTCAATTCATTAGCCAAACTGCTGCTTCCTGCTGACTTGTCCATCTCTATCTCTGTGTTCCAGTCCCCACCTCATCAGCTCAGTCTGTAACCGTGACCTGAAGAACCTGAGAGACCAGTGAAACTGAATCTTTCCACATGGTATCACTGCTTGTTCCTTCATTTGCATATCAACTGGCTCAAGCCAAGAGTTCACATTACCTGTGTGTGGGGTCTCCCATAGCCTATAGCTAGTGCCAGCGTAATCCTGTACTGATACTCCTCTCAGTAATGAGGGGTACTAACAGCTGTCGTGAAATCGTTTTGCTGTAATTGGGCTGTGATTCAGATAAATGAAAATGGTGAAGTCAAACCTTTCTGTCTTTGAGAGAGCATACTCAGATACAGCAGGTTTAAGAGACAGGCTGGCAAGTTTTAGAGAATTTCTTGACCCAGCTTCCCCCATCTCTCCTCCCTGACCTCAAAGATACAAGAGGTTTCATGCTGCAAAATGAATGTTTGAGATATGAGCAGTATTATGCTCGAATTAGAATTCCCTCTTTTTAAAACTCTGTGTAGCTTAAACAGGCAAAAGTTACCTTCAGATGATCAGTTATTGCTATTTGAAACCTCCCCTTTGGATTGCATTTTGTCTTGGTTTGTTATTTTAGATACTCATTCTTCCTTTATGTGGATCAGTGAATGCCACATCATCAAATGGGTTTATGGAAAGGAACTTTGTTGCATAAAAGCACATAAGAAGGGATTGTTGTGGTCATATCAAGCATCCAAAACCGCTGTATGGAATTAGTATAAAGAGGCTTCCTGGTAACATTGATAAACAGGAAGCTGAACAGATTTTTAAAGCTCTCGAAAATGGTCACAAACCTTGGTTTTATCCGGCTGATGCTGGAAATGAAGAATTTCAGAGACTAACTTGTCAGTCTTGGCTTTGTAACCTCATCTGGTGACCTACAGCAGTTTAAAACAAAACAAACAGAAACACGAGATTAATTATTTCACTAAATCTCAAACAGCACTCCAATAAGCTGGGCCACCAAAGCCATGCAAGAGAGCTGTAAGGAAAGCAGTTCTACAGTCCTGTTACAAAAGCTATGCAGCAGTAAAAGTGGAAAGCAAGTAAATTAATAAGTATTTTTAGTCCTGAAATTACCAAGCAAGAGATTAGAATTGGATTTGAGTCAGTTGTAGAGTTAATACATGAAAATGGACCTGTTATTTGAGGTGGGGCTGTTTGCTGAGGGGTGAGAAAAGCATTTTCATGCATTTTACCTCCAGGCTGAATTGTGTTTTCGAGTTCGTGTAATGCTTCATGATCAATAATCTCTGAGGAACTGAGACAAGCACTTACACTGCAAGCCGTGTGACAAAAGCTAGTTATGGGTTCATCGTGCTCAAAAGCAGGATTAATCCTTATAGCATTTTCTGAACTGCAGCTGTTGAGAGTAGGACTTCTACAATGCAGAACAGTTTTGTTTAGGCAAGAGTTTAAATTGAAAAAGGAAAAAAAAAATGAATATTTTGAAATGTGAAGAAAAAGATTGTGAGCATCTTACTGCAAATTAGAGTTTCGTTTGCTTTTTCTTCTTAACTTAATAATTAAAATGATGACAAGAAAAACGAGGCTTAGTAAGCCAAGAAGGAGAGGTTTAAAAATGAAGGGTTGTGTGGGTTCTGGAGCAAATTTTGCACAGCGCTGTCCTTGGTAAAGCTCGTGTCTACGTACAGGGCATCTAAAATAGGGAGAGGAAGAGAAAAATGTGCAGAACTTGAAGGCATAACATTCAGAGTACCTCAAATGAAAACAAAGGAAAATCTGCAATTAAATATAAGCACAGTATTCCCAATATGATTATGTTTCTGTATCAAATAATGTGTTAACAAAGGAAAGATAATATTCTTAGATCCATGAGAGTGAGTGATAAATAAAAAGACACTGATACACTCTTTGGCAGCCTACAATTTTTAAGGAAATTCTGCATTTGAAACATCTCTGACAAATGTCTGTCCCCACAGGTGAAGTTGAAATAACATTTGCAGTTTAGAACTGTAGAAGTTAAGTGTGATTTTGGGGAATGTCTAAACACATTTTTGAGGCTTATATTCTGTTTATTGGTGATCTTAATCTGAAATAAGAGTTCTACTACAAATAAGTCCCTTTAAAGTAAAGGAGAAGATACCCGTATTTTACATGAGAGCACAGGGCTTCCAGTTAATGGAAAAACTACTGTGGTTCTGAATAAATTCAAAAGCAGTACAAGTGCTTGACTGAAGCAAATAATAGGCTGTAATTTTCTCTTTTTAGACCGTACAAATTTGCACCAGCTGTCAGTCTGTGACTGGTGGGAAGTTGTAACTTGCTCTAATTCACAAAATGTTTTATTTATTATATTTAATACTTTTATCCTTCTAAATGCCGGTTTGGTTATTACTGTACATCAAGTCAGGGTTTTTCTGAAAGGGAAAGGTATTACTTTCCTTAGTGTATTGATCTTGGAGGAGTAGGCTTTATAGACCTTGCTACTTCAGTAAAGTTTTGAATAGGACCTTGTTAGCTCAAAGGCTGATTCTAATACCAAATACTGCAGCTGCATTAATGTGACTCTGCAAGTCAGGAATTTAGCAATAACTGTGGTGAGTTCAGTGTAATCTATTATAGTTTCTGTGATGCCCACTGCATAAAATGAATTGTGGCAGTTATGTTGCTGCAGTGAAAATATATGAATAATTTGCTCAGTAGTTTTGATGTTAACCCCAAGTACACTTACTTAAAGATGTATCATTAACCTTGTAGTGCCAATATTAGGAGAGAATAAACAAGTGCAAGAATTTTAACTTCTCTCTTGCTTATACATGTGCCATACAGTACTTGTCTACCACTGTGTAGTCGAGTAAACAGTTTCACAGCTTGCTCTGGGGAGTCCTATCTTTACAATGAGATGAAACCTGATGCTTTGAAAAGAGAATTAATATTTTCAAGTACTGTGGTAGCTCTCAATATTGGCTTAACATCATTTCATGTAAAAATCATTATGGAACGTGTAATCCTAGGGTATATTTGCAGTTAGGAGGAGCTGCTAATCTTCAAGTCTTTCCCAGAAAGCGCTGAAAGCTGCCTCAGCCTTCACATGCTTTATTGGATGGTTTGAAATCAGAGCAGGGTTTATAGGTGCGCTTGTAAGAATATTGATTTCCTTTTTAATATGTCTTAGAAAAATGTAGTTTCTTGAAATACTGCTGTGTAATCAATAGCAATGTGAATGTGTTATTTCATTTTTCCAAGATGTATTTCAAAATCAGAAAAGAATGCACGGCTTCGTATGTGTCATCTCTGCCAGTGTTGCTGAATTCCTAATAAATTTCTAAAACATCTCTAAAAAAACCCTAGATTGTGATGTGCTGTGCATACTAATAGGAATAAAAGGATTTGTCCAGAGCTAGGCTATTTATACTGAAGAAGGGAAGTGCAATGTAGCTCAAAGTGTCTGAATGTTGAGATCTTGGCTTATTACCCTTGGCTTATTTTCATTTGCTGTTGAAAAGTGTATATTCAGCCCTACTTGTTCATGCAACAGATATACCAGGTCTGTTAACAGAATTCAAGTTAAGTACTATTTATTTACCTGCAGACAGCTCCTCTTCCTGGAACTAACTCACATTTCCCCCCGTTGATGCAAAGTTGCGGTTCTAGCTCACACAGGCTCCGGCAGGGTAATCCGTCTTGACTTGCGTAACCAGGTTTACAGAGGCAGTCGGCCTCTTTGGTCCACTCATTCATTATGCATTCGGAAAACTTGTCACATGCCATGAATTTGCACGGGTCTGCCTGATCAGCTGTAACGGGTGGATGAATCGTTAATGCATTACCCCAAAGAAACTTGGCAGGCTTTGAGGCAGCTAGAGAAGACTATTCACGTTTACTGGCCTCCTACTTGTGCATGGTAATCGAATGTAGCCTAGCATAAAAGGACACACACTGTTCTTTCTGTAGGTGACACAGCGGGCATCCAAGCTTATGTTTACTTACAATTTGTTTACTCCACCAATATTAAGCTGTGATTTTATTTTCATCTCACTGACAAGAATTTTCACATTAAGATATTTTTATTATTAGTTTACTGTAAGTGCTAGTTTTATGCTCATGGATGCTATGCTACAGCTTTGCCTATGTGTTAGAAATACTTTCAGCTCTTATGATCTTAAACACGTAATTTAGGACATGACAAGGGAAAGGAACTTGATTATTTAATATTGCACAATACTGTGAGGACTGCAACCTAGAAACACTGTCTAGAGAAAGTGCACGCTGTAAAAGTATGTACATGTGAACTCTAACAAATGGGCAACAAAGTAACACAATAACTTACAAAATAAATTTATTCCCTTGTTTATATTAGGGGGGAAGAAAAATTTCAAGTATTTTGTTTTGGTTTTGTACTGGATTTTGGATATTACATAATTTAGTTTCTAATGAAACAGAACAGGGGATATTAACTGTTACAGATGCTTTTCTTACCCCACACAGAATTGCACTTCAACCAAAACCAGAACTCTTACAAAGGAAAAATGGTTAATAAAAGAGTTTGTATGATTAAGGACTTAATTAAAACAGTGACAGCTGTATTAATTGCAGGTTTCTTGTAAGTCTCTCCCCAGTGTCAATGGTCAGTTTACCTTTATAGTATTGGAAATAAAGGTTGATACTGCTAATACGGAGACATGGGCTCTGTCAAAGCATTACCCAGGGTTGCATGCTACAGTCCTGCAGTTTTCAGAAGCTGAAAGGTCTCAGTTCATTTCCATTTGACAAGTAGACCTTGGTGTGATTATTGCACTGGGTTACAGGGTCATTTTTTCATGCTAATGTTTTGTTTTCCTTAACAAAGCATTGGGCTACTTATCTGCCATACCTTGTCATCTCTTCTGTGTTTTCACTTTGTTTAGATTACAAAAATAGTGCATGCAGGTATTTTTAAAAGCCCGCTATATTATTCTTTATGGCATTACTTATGACCAGTGCTGTCAGCCCTTTGCAGATGTAGAGTCTTGATACATGTTTTGAACTGTCAGTTCCCATCAGTGTTTCCATTTAGTATAACGTTATTACCACTAGATGGCTCTTACTTTCACAAGAACTAGTAATTTGCTTAAATTACCTTAATTTACTCAGCAGGTTGGGGTTGGTTTGTTTGTTTGTTCTTTGGTTTATTTCTTTGTTTTCTAAAGGAAAAGACAGTAGGTCTTTGAAACACCTGTATGGGAATATACTGGCTTTCTAAACCTAATTTATTCTATTTTGGTATTTTACTACTGCTCGTAAACCTTGAAATAACAGTACTCCCAGCAAACTCAGTGGATTTAATGTTGAAATATCGTATCAGTAAAGCAGTTGATATGGATGAAGGTGACAGATTTTAATTTTTTTTTTCTGTGTTTGCATTTTAGAAGATAATTCTAACATTTATTTATTGAATATTCACTACCAAAGCAGAGAACATGTGGTACCCCGAAGTTCACTCTTTCTAGTGAACTCATTTAATACTTTATTCAGCAAAACATCCATTTATCATGGGCATATTAGAAAGTTTGAATACTGTGCCTTGTTAACTTTCTTTACCACACACTACCTATGCTCTTTGTGGCCACAAGGAGATAGGTAAAATGAAAATAGATTAGAAACTGCCCACATGAACTGTAAATGGATTTTTGCTCTGGAGTAGTCAGAGATCTGCACATAAAAAGACAGATTAACCAAAACTGCTAGAGGCATCCTCATGCTAAGGTATTGGTATAGTTCTTCTCTATGCCCATAAAATTAAATTCAGCCCTTGAAATTATTACCAGACTCTGAAAATAGATCCAGACTTCAAATTTATAAAACAATATAGTTTGTGAAACTCTAAGTTTCTGACATTACAAGTGTCCAGATGTGTTTCAGGCTTCCTAGTGCCTAAGAAAGACTACAGATTTATTTGAAAGGTACTAAACCAGGAGGGATTCTGGAATTACAACTCTATGGAGTGCTACAAATAATAGTCATGCTCTGGTCAGTGACCATTTGTACAATCCAGTTACTCCTAGAAATTATCTCCTTCTGTCTTGTAGTCTTCAAAAGCAGATTTAATGACTCTCTAAAGTATGGTTTGCTTACAACATTGCAAAAATCATCAGAAATTATGTTTAAATACTCAAGTGCAACATTTCCATAAGTCGCTTCTGTAAGCTGCACATGACTGTTCTTCATACCTGCCTTTGCCCAGCTCTTATTCTAGAGAATTTTTAGTTCGCTATGTTTGGCTCTGGAAAGCAGTTGATGTATATGGACAGACCAACACCTCCACCTAGGCATTTCATTATAGTATGAAAATATGCCTGTAGATAATTTGTTTTTTTTTCTTATTACTCCTGATCACTGGGAGGCTGTTGTTAATACTGTTATTTCCAAAACAGTGATGCCTCTGAAGCTGTAACAATCTGAAAAAGATTATCTGCTTGGTTTCGATTTTGCACATACATTATTACCACAGTCTTACCTGGCTCAATATCCAGGGAATAGCTGTCAATCTCCAAATTGAGGCGCTGGGCTGCAGCATCACAGAAATCTTCCAAAACGCAATGTACTGCTTCTGTGATATTGTATGGCACTGTCCTGGCAAATTTCATTTTGCTATTCACAATCACACTTCCATTCCTGAAGTTAAGTATTTCCAGTTGCTTAAAACCTGTCAGGTTGGACTGAAGGTATGGAAGTAGCTGCAAAACAGAAAATCGCCTTTTATTTTAACTTCATGTTAATGTCTACCCACTAGTTATTTATCTTATAGTAACTTTTCATTATTGAGTGAACACATCATGCGTTTATTTGTCTGAATTTAATGCAATTGTTAAACTGTACCACCAAATCCACTTTTCTTTTAGCACTGTCTTCTGACTTTTGTGTCTTTTTCAATAATATATTGAGATGGATGGACAGCAATTTTCCCTGTAATAAAATGCATAGCATCTAAGGAGTTTATTCATCTGGAATAGAAAAAAATCACCTCACTCAAAAGCCAACTTTAATTATTTTCAAACATTCAATCCAGGCAGGTTAGTGTATAACATAGTAGGTGCATTACTGAGCTGACCTGCTGCCCTATTGTACCCATAGAGAAAATCCAGATCTAATCCCATTCCCCCTGCTAAGCTATGATATGTTTTAAAAGGCCTGTTTTTACACACAGCATGTAGACACAACCCTTAGATGTAATCAGCAAGGCTATGCTGTTAATGTGAAGCTAAGGAAAAGACAAATAAATTACATGCCACCCATATATCTGGAGTCTCTTGAACAAGTAGAAAATTTCATGACTGACTTCATGAACTTTCTTCATACCCTGATGTCATCCTAGGCTTATGGAGCCTTTCAAAATACAGCTTTATCAGGCTGAACTGTAGCAGGGTCTGGTATTATCAAAGTACTCTGCTCTTCAGTATATTTCTTTAAACTGTGCCTGACTATTGCAATATGTTGTTCAAGTTGATTTACACCCACCAATTGCATGAACTGTTGTTCTAGCGCTTTGTATTCTGTCGAGCTCCTATTGAAGAGGTCATCAGAAAAGTGCATGTTGGTTACCCTCAGGCTGAAGAAAACCACTAGCTCTTTGCCTTTGGCTGCGGTTGTCATGGAGCTGGTAGTTACATATTTCAGCGTAGGAGCTGGGGTGGCTTCTGCAGGCTCAGTTGTCAGCACTGGGATATAACCGCTGCCATGCTCCACTTCATCCAGTGTGGCTGTGCTCATCACACCAATGTGATCTAACTCTGCAGCAATATCCTGCACTCCTGTCCCAGGCACTGTGGAGTCTGGTACCTCAAGGGACTGTTCGATGATCTCTGAGAGGCTGTAGGATGGACTGGTTGCTGAAGGCAGCAGTGCTGTTTGATCTGATGGTAGCACAGCTGTAATAACGTCTTCAGGCTGCGTGGTAGAGGGATCACTTGAACCAATAAGGAAAGGCAAAGTTTCGTAAGTGCTGGCTGGCACTAAAATGTCATCACCTGATGATTCTGGTTCATCCATGATCTTAACTGCTGCAGAAAAATGGGGAAAAGAAATACCTACTTGAAAAGCGAGCATAACAAACATCAAGCATGGAAACAACATGTTTATTGTGTTCTACCGAAGCATTTTAAAAAAACAAGTATTAACACTACCTAAACATGAAAATGGTATTTCCGTCACCAAGGAAAGATTACTGGAATAAAACAACTCATCCACATGAGGTGGATTGAGTAATGAGATTTCTGTGGGTGCTCTGTTTAAATAGTAATAATTACACTTGGTAAGTATTTCCTGAACCTCTCCAAAGCACATTCTTGTTTTGAAGGTACCTACTCACACTGTCAGTTTATATTGTCTGAAAGAGTAGATCGTATCTTTGAGCTGTCTGCTCAGATCACTTGTATGCTGGAGTCATTTTGTTCCCTTCTGCAAGAGGTTGAAGCTATTATTTGCCAGCAGTCATAAACAGTAATCACTGTTATGAAAAACAGTGCAGTCTCTTCAGATGCAAACTGAAGAGAGCAAAACTGTGTCAATTTAACAGCACACACAAACTCTTTCCTTTCTCCCTGAAGGTACAATACCTTGGTCTAATGTGGATTATTTTCTATATAGCCCCATTCTGCTAAGCTGACCACACTTCTTGAAACATCAAGGAATCCTTCTAAGGCTTGGTATGTGGTTTTACTAGAATTAAATGCTTGAAAAGAATTTTCTCCCATCTAGTTACCACTTTGCATAAGCCTATGTTAAGAGATGTTATATATATTTTTATCCTCTTTATTGTTTGTTTCATTATGTGTGTTATAGTGTGTATATATATATATGGTGATTCAGTGACAAAGTATAAAGAGATAAAACACATGCTAATAAAATAAGTTAATATGAAAACAATAAACAGTATAATATAAATATAAATATAAAATAAATCTTTATAAATAATAGTATCAATAGTAATATATTAAGTAAAACACATAATAGACTGACCAGTGGTTATACTATTAGAGTAGATTGTGAGAGAGCTAGATTTACTTTTTGGTTCTACTTCAAATTCCTGCTCAGGAGTCTTTAAGGATACACCTTCAGGTGGTATTGAACTCTCTTCTAGAACGTATCTAAAAATGAGATGCATCCTCTAAGCCAATATTTTTGTTCCCTTTTTAGTCAATAGTGAGATATTTATCTCACTTGAAGAAAACCATCCAAATATTCTGCATCTTTTGAAGTGCCTGTATATTTCTGTTGACTTCAGAACATGCACAGCGAATTTATGTATGATGCCTGCTTTTCTGCTTACATAGTCTGTTATGTAAATCAATCTCTTCAGCTCCCTTGTGGCACTACTGTAAGGTGATTTCTCTGATGTTCTCTGATGTATGACAAGGACTATTGAAGTTTTTTGAAAACGGGAAACACTTTCCATTGTGTGGTAGTTCGAAACTCTGAGCAGGGCAGCATGGTTCAGGCCCGGGAGAAAGCTCAGAGCATTTTACTCTGGAATACCACTGACAAGGTGTTACTGGAGAGTTGCTCCTCCTACTCTTAGTTCTAAGGTTTTCTCTTCCTTACAAGTGTTTTGCCCCAGCTAATGGAAGAACTAGACTTTTTTTGTCTGTTCTGTGGGGAAGTGAACTTCTAGAAACAATATTCTGAAGCAGAACTCCTCAGGTAAAGCAGGCTGGAAGTTACTACAGCTGCTTCTATTTATGCAGTCACACATCAGTAACTAGTGCAAATGTTATTCTGTTATGTTGTTCTTTCAGATGAGTTTATTTGTATATTAATACCTGTTTTTGATAGGTATTGAGTAATAGATGCCAAGGTGCTCAGGAGTATAAGGTAAATTCTTGCTAGAGCAAATTTTAATCATAGCAGCAGTGCATGTTCTCATAGCTACACATAAAAAAGCATTCTAGAAACACGATATGCACTACTCTGACAGGGGTAATCAGGGAAAGGACAACTTCCACATCACTGCTTTCTGGATGCATAAAATATTGCAACTGCCTTGCAAGATGTTCCCTCTCTTTTGAAGACCAGGTTATTAGCTCCTGTTTCATGTTCTTGCAGGATTCCCCTGTTATCTTGCAGCTCAAAGTAGGGTAGTCATCAAAGAGAGTTCCCAAACTGTCCTGGGCAGCTGCTGCTGATGGACAAACATTTTGTTATGATTTGGCTCATCAGAACAGATCAGTAGGCGCTGAGTGCAGCCAAGACTCTCCAGAGACCAGGTTTTAGGGGAGACACCTGCAAAGCAATGGAATCCCACAGGGGGTACCTATTTTGCCTTTAACACTAGCTGGCTGATGGCAAGTTATTGAAGATCACTCATCTCTGTCAATATTTAGTACCTCTTTCCCATATGGGACAAGGCAAAGTTTTTATAGTCAGTTGCTTGCATGAAAACATCTTCCCCCAGGAGACTCACTTTAACTGGCAGAATATTTGGAAACCAGAATGATTTAGCTGACAAAAATTCCCACTTGATAAGAGACTATATTTCACCTATTTTGAGTTTGATATGTAGGGCTGAGTTCTAATTCATATTTATCAGCAGTGAACTTCTTACCTTCCACATTATGAGCCCCTCCCATCCCCTTACCACATCCCCAGTGGCTGTTCATGACACAAAATGTGTTAAATTTTGTATGCTTATGTACAAAATAACAAAGAGCCTAGAGCACTGGTGATTCTGGAGAAGATGCTGAAGTACACTGCTAATATGAAGCATCTGTGGGATGAGATGCAGAAAAAGACCAAGTGGTGTATTCTCCCCTACTGCAGGGCCAGACTGTGCTGATCTGGAACAGGAACACAATGTGTGTATGGCAAATTCCCATTTAAAGTAGCACAGTTGCGTGGTCTCCTTTTATTTGTTGCAATACGTAATTTGCAGTGCTGACAGTGTAATACAAGGCCTACAGTCCCAGTCCCTCCAGCCCTAGAAAGCACCCAGAAAAGAATAGCAAATTGCTGTGTTGTTGTTCATGCTGCATAAAACACCAAATGCTGCACCAGAGCTTGATGCCCTAATACTTCTTCGAGAACTTGAGGTGCTTTTCTCTTGTCATGTCCTCGTGTTTCTTGTGTAATCAAGGATATGGACAGATTAGAGAAGAAAAGCCTAGCGATGTTCTCTGTTTACAAAGCTCTTGCTGTTACTTGTTACGCTGATGATAGGGAGTGAGAGTCACTTGTTAGTTAAGGGAACTCAGGACAGATTTCTTAGCATTAGTGCTTGAGGCATTAATGCAGGATGATCTACTGATGGGATGAACCTGCAGCTCTAGAGCAACCTTCTCTCAGCATGACAGCATACACATGGTCATGACTGATAGTATTTGTCAGGCATATTGTATTTTAGAAAAAGGTAACTACAGGAGAAAAAAGTACTGGAATGGCTTTGAAATTGCAGCAAGTTTGAAGCAGAATAAACATATATATTACGCATTTGGCAAATAGCTGTGTATATGTGTGTGTGTGTGTGTATATCTATATATAGAGAGAGATAGTCTATGCATAGATTATAAAGGTCTTCTGGCATCCTCTTATTACAAGCAAAGTAACTTAAAACACCTTGGGAGTATACCAAGATGATCTCAGTGCATGTATCACTTGTGTTCACATGTTGCCATTTCTTATCAGTCACAGTTTCTCCAGCTGAGATATATAAGACAGTGACCGACCACAGAGGTGGTGTTAGACTCTTGCAATGTGAAAGTAAATGGGCTCCCCTAAAAGGCTTCTGAGTGCTTAGTGAAGCACAGCACCACCCTTGAGCACAGGGGTTATTGTCCCCTTCTGTTGGTTACACGTTTTCTAATGTGTATCATGTTACTGTTGCAAGACTTGCAACTTACTGAATTCAAATATACCTCAAAAGTAACCATGTTACATTAAGGTTAAACAATAGAATGGAATTAAAAACGGCTGTCAGCAATGAAAAACTCAATTTGAACTCTTAGCCACCACTGACCCTCCGAAAGAGATGTTCACTGAACTCTCCAGATGTCTTTTTCATATTACATGGACAATATTGTACTGAAGAGAGTTTAATATCTGAAGTTAAACTGCTGTTGGCAAAGACGTATAAACACTGAATTAAGAGGCAATTTCCTGGGTGCATTGCTATATTAAATCTTTCTAAAAAGAGTGCTGCATGCAGGCATTTATTCCCAGATGAGGGAGTAAAATACATAGGTTTGACTTACCAGAAAGAATCATCTGCTATCTCAACAGCTTTATTTCATTTCAGGTATCTAATTAGTTGGTCCTCTTACATTTTTTTAAAGTGAGGAAACCTTTTATAATTGACCATGAATAAGGAGTTATTGTTGGGGAAAGGTCAAATTGTCATGAGACATTTTTCTAATGGGTTTGTGTTAATAAGCAGACCCAGAAGATTATGTATTGAGAGGTCCTGGTATTTCATTTCACTCATGAGCTTAATAAGCATTGACATTTCCTATTGGCAATAGAAAATTTTCCAGTCCACTGACAAATATTGTTCTGTATATGAAGGTTACAGAAGTGCAATGTGCATATATATATTTGAATATATGCTGGCTGAAGGAAATAACTAACAAGGGAAAAAGTGTGCAATGAAGAGACTGGTCCATAATGCAGGGTGAGAATCTCCTTATGGGCAGCTATGCTGATATAAATACCAGATGGACTGGTACATCAGGCAGCTGGATTCAAATCTACATATTTTGTTGGTGCCTGAAATGCCACAAATCCCTGAATGCAGGACTGTTGTGTACAAATAAATAGATGAAGTGCTGGATTTGTGTTTGAGGTCTTTCATTTTTAACTAGGACACAAGTAAAATGAAGATTAAGAGAATTAAGAATCTCATTAAGCCAGCATGTCACAACAAATGTCTTGCAGCACATCGTTATTAACTCTGTCTTTTTAACTGTAAAACCAAGGCAGAAGAGCCAGACTGATCTACGGCTGTCATTCTGTCTGTCAATATGAGCTCCCCATAAGCCAGGTTCAGTGTCCAGTGAAACCAACAGACCCCTTTCTCCACTGACTCCAGTGAATCTCACTGCACTGGGAGTGAATTCCATCTCTTCTCCATCTCCAGTCCTAAAATTTCTTATATTTTTCAACCTTTCTTCCTTAGCATCTCTGCTGACACTTTTTGAGGAGCCTGCTTTTTCGCAGGACAGCCTGATAGCTGCAGCTCTAGCTCTACTTCTGTGTAGTGCTCTGTGTAACTTAAATAAGAACACCTCAGTTTATTCTGAAAACTTTCTTATCTTGCAGCTGTGCTTCATCATCATGTTCTCACCACCAAAGGTGCAATGAATGTCATTCTGACATGCTGTCACAAGAGGATAAAATACTACTTAGTAATAATAATCTTCTCTCATTATTCTCAGAACATTTCAGTTCTACCTGACACTGTGAAAACTAAGAGGATAACATAAAATTTGCGAAATGAATACCTGAAAAGATAAAATACTGTGAATTCAGGGTGTTGAGCAACTACAGCTTGGTATTCTCTTGTCTTTGTTAATTCTGAAAGGATCTTCCAAGGGTGCTTTAGCTGGGCTTTGCACACTGGCATCAAGGATCACCTTCTGTTTGGTGAAACTGGGTAGCCTCTTTAACTGACTCATGCTTAGCTGAGTAATTTGGCAGGAGCACCAGACTGTGTGTTTGATTTGGAGTGTTTGCTCCAAATAACACAGAGTTATGATATGGCCCTCATCTCGCATCAGCATCCTTATCAATTCCTTTTTTTTTTTTTTTTTGCAGATCAGTAATGTTCTACACTCCTGCAATGACTGAAGAAATGAAAAGCAAAGAATTTTTCACTTGTCCCTCAAAGATGCATAAATCTTTAGAGTAAATCGTTAAGGACAAAGCCAAGCCCTGACTGCTTCTAATCTCCTGCAACTTTTCTCTCAGTGCAGCTAATTCTTCCTGAGAGAAGCAGAATGATGCGTCTCACAACAGTCTGACTGCCCATAAGCTTTTCACTGGTGTAAATTAGCTGGTCTTACTCAACTCACACAAAGTTTTCCGTACAAAGGAAGAATTCCCTTTATGAAATTAGGGTTAATATTTTTGTTGGTCCATCTCTCCTTGGGAAATGCAAGCTCCCTTCACTTTCATGGAAGTCAGTCAGTAACACATCTGCCTTTAGCAGTTTCATGCTTAGACGCTGTACCTGTAAAAGCCCCCTGAAATATCAGTTTTCTGTGCAATTACAAATTATTTTTCTCTCTAACTTTCACATGCACTGGCCAATGCATGGCTGAAAAATAATAATTCACCTTGTCATTATCTGTTCTGTTAAGGCCTTTCTTTACGTCAATTATCTATCTGCTAACAGTTTTCTCATTATTTGCATGTTTTTTGAGTAAGCCTATTTCTTTAAAGCTTTGAAATAATGAACTAAATAGTTAATATATGAGTTTTTTAAATTTTTCAGCTTCAAAGCAGTCACTTAAGCACAACAGGTGGAAATACAATACATATGCAATTAGTAGGGAAAGCTTATTTTAGACCTGTGTCAAATTCATGTACTGAGAGACTTGACTATTAAGCTTTAACAACTGTCCTTGGCATTCTCCTGTTTCAGCAGTTCTAGAGGATTCAGCATTTCAAAAACACGCAAGTACTTTAAACAAGATAGGAATAGCAGGTGCTTAAAGCATCCCCAGGACTATGAGTAGCAGTGTTTGATTTCATTTTGCACTGAAACTATGCGATGGAAGTATCTGCAGAAAATTGGAAAACAATCAACAATAATCTGTTAAACCTGGGTCTCAACCACCATCCCACCACAATTTCTTCCCTGAATTCAACAGCTGTTGCACCTGATTGTGGTGACGGTTCTGCCTCTCAGTTAAGACTCAGAAACATTCATTTGCCTCAGCACTTCTCTGACTATAGCAGAAGAAAACTCAGTAATTCCATATTGATTGCTTTAGGTAGTTAACAGTAATTATAGTGAGATTATAAGGTTGTATTCCTGCTTTTTACAAGAAAAACTGTACAGACAGGTGTATAATAAGATACCTTGTATGGACAGTAGGTCAGTGGTAGTTTATTTCCATAACATGACAAATCACTTTTCCATGTAAGAACTTTTACCTCATCTGCTGAGATTGTTAGACAAAATGACATACTAGTGCTCAAGTGCTCTAAAAGTCAGTTTTCTAATTAAAGTCCCTGCTAAAGAAATGATTCAACTGGTGTATTATACTCTTGTGAAGGAAGGAAATTAATAAGTACATTTACAGTTTAAACATGTAAAAATGCCAGAGACCGCTGGGACTGTTATTTAGTATTATAGGCTATTCTGCATTGAAATTCTGCGCAGTTTGCTACCATACTAAATTTATATTAAAATATATCTTAAACAACTAAGACATGAAGCTAAACTGAGAAGTCTGGACTTCATTGGTGTTCACATTAGTGAATTAGAGAAGAAAACTGAGAAGCATTGAATTTGCAAATATTAATACACATCTACATAGCAGTGGAATCAAAGCTGAATAAGAAGTATCTCACTTAAGACAATAGCTTCATAAGGATTAACAGCTTTTATTCCTATTGTTGATTATTCTACAGTTAAATTTGAGAAATTTATTTCATGAGTTTAAACTAATGAAATCTGCCTGAAAATAACCTAAACCTAGAAACATAAAGAAGTAACCATCTAAACATTGTAAATAGTCTTGCCATGCTACTGTAGTGATTTTGGAGCACCATAAATGGAGAACCTGGAATGTTATTTTTGATTCATTTGACTTTAGAATAATTAGAAACAAAATGTGACAGGTTACAATACCTATCCTTCAGACGTGAAAGTACCCTCCAAATCCCTGCCCTCTTTTTTATTTTTCTCCACTGTGTGACAGGAAAAAATAAAGAGCACAGTTCTGTAGGTGATGGGACCATAAGACGGTTTTGTGATACTGAAATTTATTAGTTTGCAAACCAGTAAAAACAAAATAGAAGTCACATGATATAAATTCAAGTGATTTGTTGACCCAAGGACCTAAAAACAGAAAAAACAAACATGACATTAGAAAGTTAAAAAATGTGACTCTCTTGAAATCTTGTAATCAGATAAGCACTTTAAGATCTGTGCTGATGCTTCCAGGCATTCATTCTCCTCAAGCCACACTACTTTTTTTTTTATTTATTATTGGAGCTTTGCAGTATCATGTAGGCTACGCTGCTTGAAAGCCCATCATTCCAAATTACATGGCATTAAAAATGGTTATTAGAGGAATGGTTGGCCATAAATAAAATTTTGACTGTAAACTCGGTTATCTGTTATCAGCACCACAATTCCACAAGTATTATATTCTACAACACTTCAACTTAGAAAGAAAAAGAAATCCACCAAATGGGGAAGAATGGAAAGGAAACCTAAACATAAAATGAACAAGAAAGGAATCTTTTGCATTCAGGGTTCGTTTAATCATGTTCTTACTAATGCAGACAATGATCTTACCATTCTACAAAATGAAAGTGAAATTTCTACATCATTCTAATTTACACTTGGATATCACTGCTTTAAATTGCCTTTAGTCCTGTCCTCTACATACCTTTCTGTAAAGTTGCACTGACAAAACAACATTAAGAACTTGTTGGAAAGAATGCATTTTATCGTAAAGCAGAAGTCAGAACTTATTTTCCCACTTCCCCCCCCCCCCCCCCTTTTTTTTTTAATTGCAATATGAAAATATATGAGATCTATCCTGGCAAGAGTTTTGCACATTCTAGATTTTCACAAATGCAAACTCTATTATATTTAGTATAAACATTATTATAAATCTGTCTCCTTTTAAGGTTTTTATGTATTTTTGTTTGTTGGTTTTAAATACTATAACATCTTTCAAACTGCAGAACAAACACCTTAAATAGATATTGGCATCAGTGCCAATTATGTGAGTCATCTCAGGTACGGCTGAGAAAAGCAAGGCCAAGCCCTCTCTCCAGATAGAGATACATAACTCCATCTAGAGACGTGATTCAGAGCACCTAAGTTACAACTTGCCTATGCTAGTCTAATACAGGTGGCATGAGTTATCTGCTAACAAGGAACTGATTCCAAGCTGAGCTCAGGTGGAGTTTCTTAATCTGGAAGGAAATGGAATCCCCCAAAGTGAGAACTGTAATAATTATAGAAAATAAAATATTTAATACCGTTTGATCATAATACGTTATTTCTCAAATCCAGCTTTTCTAGGAAGACTAAGGATTATTAATGAGTGAGGGAAATGTATTATTTAAGGCATGTTACTCTCAGCAGTGCCACTCTGATGTTTGTTCCAACAGGACTACATTGCATGTAAACTTAATTAGTTTCATTCATTTATGACCTGGCAAAGGGTAATCTTCCTCCCCCAGCTCAAAAGTCTGTATTATTTGTTTTAAAGTATTTTTTATTATTTTACTACTCTATTAGTCACAGGTTTTTATGTAATTTTATTCAAGGCATTAATATATTAAAGTTATTTGTGATACTGGATTTTCAAATTCTGAACTTATTTCTGGCCTTTTTATATTCAATTTTTATTGGAGGATTAGAATTACTGTAATCATGTCTGAAGACAGTAAACTTCCTCAAAGAAGTTTCTAGCCCTGAAGTTCTAAAGAAAATTAGTTTTCTGGAACAAAGTGCAAATAGATCACATGCAGCAACAGCTACGTGCTGCTCCTGGAGGGAGAGCTTCTTCATGCACAATGACAAAGATGAAGAAGAATTATGGGTGGTTTGTAGGCTTGTCAGGTTTTCAACGTTATCACATGGCAAGCACACCTTCCCTCCTCTCCTCTGGGAGAGGAGGTTGCTCCTGTTTTCATAGGAAACAGGCAAGAGAACTTTCCTGTTTTTCCACTTAGATCTAATCTCTGAACACTGTCAGAAAGGTTGGTTTTAACACAAGATGGGATCTGAAACTGAAATGTATGAAAGCTTGTATTACATATGTTACATCTCACTCATGGTGGAGGGCTACCTACAACCAATGTAAAGCTTACTTAAATGAATAGGTTTTAAGTCACCAGTATTACGGTGAAATAGGAGGGAGGGAGATGATTAGTTTGGAGAGAAAAAACATGAACCCAGAAGGGAACAATCCTCAGGGAAATGCTAATTATAGAAGTGAAAGCATTCAGGAAACAAGTACTGAAGGATCATTAGCATTGGGAGTCTAAAATGACACATGAGGTTCATGAGAACCTAACTGCAGAAACAATGGCGTTGACTAGCAATATGCAGTGATGCCTGTGTGAGAAAAGCCCCAGGTGTGTGCGTAGAATATGAGACTCTGGGCCTTGTGGAAACAATGGGATAGCAATGTGCGTCTGTGTCTGCGGAAGGGACTTAAAAATAAAAAATAGAAGTGAACAAGTGCCAGAACACTTAGGTGGAGAATGAGGTGTGAGGTGTTACATTTTTTCATTATACAGGTAGCTCAAATTTGCCTCTGGATCAACAGATTTTCTTGCCAGAAATATAAATTGTTTTCTGTACTTCACACAGTAATTTCAATGAGTCATTGGAGTTACCAATTGCATATAAAGTTTCATTTCATTTGTTTTGGTTAATGTTTACGCATTTATATCTTGTATTTGGAGATGTATAAGAAATCATATTTGAAGGAAGCAGAGCTTAACTTCAAATTAAAACTGAAGTGATTGGATAGCTTAATAATTTAAACAAGTGATGTGTTAAATTGGGAAAATATTTAGCACTGTTTCTCTTGTATATTTTTGCTTGGATTAGCCATTTCATTTTAGCATGTTTAATTATGTTTTGAAGATGTGATGAAGGTTTTGTTCTACTCATATTCTTCCTCCTGTACCCAGCATGGTGATAGTTGAGCTATCATTACATCTTTGCCGTACACTAATCACTTACTCCAATATGTTTAGGACTCTTCAGGATACCTGTAGTATTCTGAGTGTGCTATTCCAGCTTTATCACAACAAGGAAGACACTATGCACATTTTCTTAAATCTGACATATCTTAATATGGGCCTGCTGAAACTTTTGCATTCAGCCTCATCTTCAATTCACAGACAACTTTTAGGCTAATATCATACATAATGCTTGAGAAAATGACATAGCTACACCTACCTGTTTACTTCTCCAGTCATCGAACTGAAGCAGCACCTTTGTGAAAAGCATTCTTTGCGCATCTGAAGCGGCAAGCAACAAGTGAAAGGGCACAGAGAAAAGCTGTTGAGGGAGAATGTTAAGAAAATCTTGTTAGTTTACGATCAAAGAAAACATAAGAAAAGCAGAAAAACATGCAAGGAGACAGAGGAGTTCTTTACCTTGTATAACCATAGACATGGAAAAACTGCTGAGTCTTCCTGTCACAAAGGATGGGTGAATTCCAATCCTGGGAACATCTGGAGTGGCTCTTGAAAGAAGTAATGGGACTTTCTTTTCCATCACAATGCTGGTTATGCCAAACAGAAAACTATGCTATGTACAGATGGTGCTTTGGCAGCTGGAGATGAACCAGATGCAGAAAGAATTCCCAGACATCCAGAAAACAGTTTTTCTAGATTGCTTAGAAATAGTAGTGAGTGAGGAGAGCACAACTGAATTAAGTGCTGGCAGTAGGAAGACATGACACAAGGCTGTGTGAATATATGAGGGTAATTACCAAAATTAATGAGGCTTTTATCAGTTGCACATACAGAAATGTGATCCCTGTCTACTCCTTATCAGTCAGTTTCTCACAGTAAAAAAAACACCTCTGTGACACATCCTGCAGAGTCTTCTCTTAGAGTCTTTCTGGAAAGCTTGAGAATGATCCAGGCTTGTGAGACTGAGATTTAGTACAACAGAGTAGCTGAAGTGTATTACTGCTACCTTTATTTTGTCCTATGCTTCTGGAATAACTGCTCCAGAAATAATGTGTCCTCCATGATGGTCAGGAGATTTACCTGTGTTGTATATTTGTTAGTAACTACAGTTAAAACAAATTCAAATTCAAATTCTCTTTACTGTTTAGGAAATAGAACTATATCATTTATTGTTGTTGCAGACTTCATGAACTCTTTTATCACTTTATATATTTGTTTGCATTTGTTTTACTGATGAAATGTTACTGCTTTTTGAAATAACAATCTGTCTAATACATTACACAAGTGTCTTCCTTTCTGAATGGTCATACTGTTTTAGGTAGAGTCACAAGAAGACCACAGAGGCATAAAAGAAATTTAACCATACTGAAGACATACTGATAACTCCAGAGGGGGAAAAGTATGAAGAAAGATGAATGCTAGAGAACAGTGAAGAGGTATCCTCTCAGAGAGTAGAAAAAAGCAGAGGTTTTGCAGTGATTTTAAATGAAAAATGGAAAGAGCTGAGATTTTGCAGGAGCTATAGCAAACCTTCTGAGTAGTCAAATGTTTAAACCATGACATCCGATCCACGCATTCCAGAATTTTTCAGTAAGAGGGTTTGTCTCTGAATTCTATTGTAAAATCTCAGACAGAATTTGATATTCAAAGGTTAGGCTTGCTTTAAAGCATCTTCCTAGTAATTTTGGGCTACTTTGAGGAGCAGAGTAAATGCCATCACTATTTGGCCATCACGGCTGTTTAATCCTCACTGGCCTGCTCTTTACCTGCACCACAGACAGCATCACTGTCCTGAACAAGCACAGACCCACATGAAAGAAGCTTCACAGCTGCTTCTGGCTCATTCCTCCCACTGGTTTCCCAAGCCTGACAAATCCCATCCTGCATGTCTTAGAAGGATACTTCTTGTTAGTTCGACTCTTCATCCCTCACCTGTTTTTCACTTTCCTTTTCCTGCATGTTGTACACAGAACTTTGCATCTATTTGTTTGTGTAAAGCTGAGTCTGATTATCTTTTAAGGAGCTGTGAAAGAATTTTTTTTATTACTTTGACCAGTGACCTCACATAGGCATAATTAAAGTAGTTGGAGTAGGTTACAGACATTCAGCGTCCATGAGTCTGTAGTAATGTTCAGCCTACAGTTGCACACATGATAACCGATGCAATAAAGTCCATCTGTGAAACATAGCTGATGGGGAGACCTAAAAGAATATCAGATCATGTTATTTCTTGCAGCCATGTCTTCCTTTCATGGTAGAGTGAATTTAAAGTTCTAAACATGTGATGAAGAAAATTTGCTCCACTTTCTGGACTGAAAGGTGAGAAAATGGCTGGGAATTAATGTAGTAGAAGTGAAGGCAGCTGTTCAGACCTTAATCCTCTGTCCAAGTTCATACAGAGCTAAGTAGTTCCTGCAACAGTTAAAAGTTTGGGTTTCTTGTTTTTTGTTTGTTTGTTTGTGTTTCAAAAATGCTAAGAAACACAGCTATGAAATGCAGCCAGGTACAGTGTGCGAAATATTCTGTGCCTAATAGTGAGGAATTTTGCTTGCCATGTTAAAATTAATATCACCAACACCGTTGACATTAATAAGACCTCTTTCATAAATGTTGTCAAGTCCTGAATTTCCAGATCAAATTCTATCAGCTCCTATGAAATATGCAACATTTAGGGAAAGAAGAAAATAACAACACAGGGAATGCTGTACTCAGAACTGCCAAATAAAAACCACCACCACCACCACCACCAACAAAAAAACTATAAAGGAATTTTTAAAAGTATACATTATTTACTCTTCTCTAAACTTAGTAAGTAGATTTTTAACCTCTCTCTTCTGTTAAGCTTGCAGTATGTTCTGTGTACTGCAAGGGTTTAAATGCATATAATAACTCCAGCTTTGTGTCACTGCTAATAAGGTGTCCCTTCCTTTTAGACAGGGAACAATTATTTTTTTCCTGCTACCCAGCTGCAGAGATAATGAAGGAATTCTTGTGTTGTAGTGCTTGTTTTAGACATAACTTGTGTTCAGCGGGGAGGAACAAGGCAGTGGGCCTTATTTTGGGGAAGTTATTTTTTACAGTTCTAGTCAGTTTGTTCTGTTTCTCAGATTGACAGGTTCCAACCCAAATATGCAACAAATAATTTCTTAAAATAGTGTTTAAAGGGTCAGTACCAGGTGTTTACAGGAGCAAATATGCAGTTATAGAAGATCCACACCTCTTTAAACAAACAATTCCATGCTGTGTGGGCGCAGGCAATAATGGCTTTAGGAAAAAGAAAACCCTTGATGTAGTTTTTTTACTGCATTTCAAATTATATGAGAAAGATTGAAGAAATTTGTATTAGTAGGTAAGTGGTGAACTTTCTATTTGTATAATACTCGCTTAAATTTCCTTTGGTCTGATATTTGCCTGATGACATTGAAACTCACTAAACTATTTAATGTATTAACTCTGAGGATCATTTAATAACACAGAATGTAACCTTCATTTTGAACTGATGTATCAGAGCCTATGCAAGCCTCAAATGAACTGTGGTCCTACACTCTCACTTGGAAACAATCAAGCAAGCTTGAACCGTGGGACCAGGGAGAGGTCCATCTCCAATATCCTTCCTCCCATCCAGTGAAAAACAGTAAGGCAGTAACTGTAATAAATTACAAAGGAAATTCTTTACAATTTTAGATCTGAAGACAATGAATAAAACTAGTATCTTCACCAAAAATTGCTCTCATTTTTGGTGAGACTCTGCTTCTCTTCAGTCATTTGGAGCTGTTAGGATACAAGGTTTTTCAGCTATTTAGCAAATTGCAAAATAAATATGCAACTTTATGTGGGTTTTATGACATCAAATCCTTAACCCAATGAGTAAATACAATGAAAAATGCCTATAACTTTTTTCCCCCTGCAAATGTAAGACTTTTCCACGGTTATAATAAATGTTATTTATAGGTATGCTATGCTGTTTTTTGAAGGTATGATATGCTTTTCTCAGTAGGACTACAAGAATTTTTGCCATAATATCCTGTACAAGGCATGCCTCATCTTTAGGCATTTGTTGCTGAATTGCTGTTGGGGTTTTTGTTTGCTTGTTTGTTTTTTTCTTTGACAACCCTGAAGTCAGGTACCTTAGGATTTTTTTTCAAGTAAGCATCAGAAATGTAAATTTTTTACTTTTGATGGTCCAGAAAAAAATTCTGTCACAGCTGAAAGGAATGATTACTGTACTTATTTGAGAACTCTTTGTGTATTAACAACTGGATCTCTTCTACTCTCTTTTATAGAAAAATCTTTTGTGTCTTACCTTGTCCAGACAGACTGTCTTGGTCAGCTTCCTTGAAAGGTGATCCTGTTGTATCTGCAGCTTCAGCTCTTTCTTGCAGAAGACTAGGTGGGATAAAGCTACTTGTGGTATAAACTGCCAGTGTGGTGGCCTGCTCCACTGGAGACTCATAGCCATCAGTGGTTAAGTCACTGCTAGCAGAATCATCTGCTGGAGGAGGCAAATAGGAATCCTCTGGTTTTGAAGGACTACCAGTGCTACCCAGAGCACTGAAAGGCACTGTGAAACTTTGGTGGTCAGCAGAGATATCTTCTGTGTCTGGAGTAGATTTCTCCCGAAATGGCTCTCTGGAAGGTTTGGTAGGGAACACAGGTTCAGATGAAACAAAATTGTTGAAGTATTCAGCATCACTGATGTCTCCACTTAACACCGGGATTCCAGTTGTAAATTCATTGAACAGGATGTCTCCAGTTTGGCCCACTGTTGCTGGGCTGGGGTAGCCCAGTGGGAGTTCCATGCTCATGGAGTCCTCCTGAAAATGTTTGTAAAAAGCAGCTTTCATTATTATGTTTAACTTTCACTGCTAAAACCACCAATAATCTTTAGCCACAGGAACTTGCAAACAGCTAACTCAGCATGAAGTCATGGGATGTATGAAATGTTTGGCATGTGATGCTAATCACATTTCCTGTAATTTAAAAAATGGTCAAAGAAAGATGGCTTTCACTGTCCCTGTCAATTGCTCTCTTTCTGTCACTGAAATGTACTACTGAACTGGTGAGACAGTGTAAATTTAGTAATTACAACAGGAAAAGATAATCAAGCAGTAATTTTCACCTGCAAATGCTCTAAACAATACCTCCATTGAAGTATAGCAAGACAACATTCATCTTTACCGCATTATAAAAGGCAGGTATGTATTTTAGCAAAAGATCCTTTTTCTATATATTTATGCATATTTTAACACTGTTTAATTAGCAGCCTTTGAGTACCTGAAGGGGGGCTATAGGGATGCTGGGGATGGACTCTTCATTAGGGACTGTAGTGATAGGAAAAGGGGTAACGGTTTCAAACTAAAACAGGGGAAGTTCAGGTTGGATACAAGGAAGAAGTACTTTACTGTTAGGGTGGTGAGGCACTGGAATGGGTTGCCCAGGGAAGTTGTGAATGCTCCATCCCTGGTGGTGTTCGTGTTCAAGACCAGGTTGGACAGAGCCTTGGGTGCCATGGTTTAGTGTGAGGTGTCCCTGCCCATGGCAGGGGGGTTGGAACCAGATGATCTTAAGGTCCTTTCCAACCCTAACTATTCTATGGGTCTATGAATTTAATGTTTTTCCTCAATTCATGGAGAAATAAATAAATAAACATACCAACCAGTATTAACTTACCAAATCAGGGCCTGCCAGAGGAATAGTGACCATGGCCTGGATATCATTATCAAAATCACTAGATGGTCCAATAGATTCTGGGAAAAAAAAAAAAGGCACTAAATTAAATAGTGCGCAATATCTCAGCGGTGGCACCCTGAAAACTGATCAAAATGAACTCAGTAAAAACCATTATTAAAACTGTCCTCCATAAAAAAAAAAAACTTTTAAAACTCCATGCTAAGAAGAAAAAGGCATAAATTTCCATTTAAGCTAGAAATTATGAGGAAACCAAGAACTTCATATGCATCATTCTTTGTACTCCTTTATTTAGAATAAACGGGATAGGTCTGCAGATAGCTGAACCATGGATGGATACTCAAAATCAGCTGAAGTGTGAAGCACTTGGTTAAATCCACTTGGACTATGATGACTCATTATATTGTGTTATTCATTAAGCATATATTCTTTTCAGTTCTACCCAAAGTCCACACCATTGCTGCACTCAAAATTTTGGCTTTAGTGCCTGGTGGTTCCATTCACCCTCTCAGAGAAGCTCTTTAAACATAGTTACATGCAAGCTGTTTTCTAAAACTGGTTATTAAAAATAACTAGTGCAGGAAAGTTGATTAAAATAGTTATTATTAAAGTGTTCTATAGCCACTCTTTTTTCCCCCTCTCCTTGTGCCTTTTAATCTACAATAAACAATGAGATTTTGTTCTTACTGAAAGTATTAGTTCATTGAAATATATATATTTTTTTGCAAGAAAATGCTGTTTGTAAATGGAACACTTTGCAATTTGGTGTGTGGTTTAAGATTAGGTAAATTCACATATGTAAAAATATTTTAAATTATTTTCCCCATTTTTAACCCACCTCCCCAAAACTAGGGCTATGCTAGCTTTGAGAAAGATCACTGATGCACTAAATGGGGATATTTATTAGGTGGATTACTGAACAGGATGAAACCTTTAAATTTTCTGCTGGAGGTCTTCACAGCCAGCTACACTTCTTCTGTGTTTCAGAGAGCAAAATGCAGTTTATAGTATGTTTCACACCATCGATTTTTGCTTGAGATCAAATACTCCTTAAGGTGTCTGTCGCTCTGATTTCACTAGGAGGCTAGATGGCTTCCTTAAAGTCAAGACTTACCTTTCAGAAAGCTAAATTTACATTAGAGGAAGCCCTCACTTCTTACCTCATCAAGGAGACCGGGAAATTAAAATGATACTATGAATATACATAGTATTTTGCACTCTCCACCCCTCCCTTATTTTTCTTAGTATGCAAAATATCCAGCTTTTCTAAACAAACAAGCAAGAAAAGCGGATTCTCCAATATGATTGGAAGTTAGGCTGTATAATTATAAAGACATTTTGCTATCAAGTTTAACTTAGATCTGTGCATCCTTGGGACACTGCAACACTTAGGAGAATGAGATACAGCAAATGAAAACTACCTGTTAGAGAGCAAAGGAGACCTTATTGAAATTGCATCAGTTTGAAAAGGTGAAACTTGTGGCTGGCACTGCCTGCCTACTGACCATCAGTAAACTGAAGTGTTCCAAGGTCCACTGGCAGGGACTGGTCTTCGTGGAGTGCTATGGCAACCAGTTGCTGGAGGTCTGTTACTGTGAGTTTTGTTGCTGATATCTCCCTCTCTTCCTTTGGAGAAAGTGGAATTTTTTCATTTTCAACCTTATTAGATCCAATAGTTGAGATGTCACCTGCTGTGCTTCTGATTTCTGAGCCATCTCTCTCAAAGTTTACCACATATCGTGCTATAGTGCTGCTTGACCTGCAAGAGGAAGATGCAAAATGCCCAGTGCAGCAAAATCAGTTACTGGCTGAGAATTGATTTTACAAACAAACCAACAAAAATATATATAACCAGAACATATTACACTCTGCACAAATAATGCAGATATATTTCTTCCTAATGAGACTGTCATCTTCAAATTACTTTTGTAACGCCTAAATCTTTATTTTTTTCTATGCATAATTTTTAATTAAAATTCCAATAGTGAAGAAAATTATAAAAGTGTTCTAACATAATCCAGTTTAACCTGATGACTCAGGGACCTGCAGAAATACTAAGGTAACTTGAAGTTACAGATTATTGGTTCAAACAATCATAAATGCATACTGGTTTCACTAGAAGCCATAATCACCTATTAATTATGCAGGAAAGGGATTAGGCAGTTCATAAAACTACAGATAAGCAAAAACCTTATCACATCTGGGGCTTTTTTTTTTACTCTTTTTTTTGAAGAACAAGAAAGTTAGTTAATATGGCAAGCAAATCACTTTTTCACAATGGCAGTTTGTTTTCCAAGTCCAAATTAATGGATACAGCTTCTCTCTAGAGGTCCTTGTTTAACAGAAGTCTCAAACTTTCACCATTATTAATAAATCAATTTACATAAATGCTAAACTCACCTAATTAAAATGAAAAAAAGAGTACATTGCAAAACATTTGTACTCCACTATGTTGCCTTTTATAATATCAAATACTATAGAGAGAGGAATCTCAAGTTATGTAGTATGCGCTATGTATTTACATTTGTACTACATTGCAAGAATTCAGGAAAAGCATTAGGCAATTCTTCCTTTTAAACTGCAAGTTAAAAATTCTGGGAACTGCTAGACAAATTATTCCCCAGCAGCACTTTTAAGCAACAACAGGCTCTGTAGCTCTTTGTATTACCAGTCAAGAACTCCCTGCATTTTATCAAGCTAGTAACTGGTCTCTTTGCCATTCTATCTGCACTGCTAATGCAGATAACAAATCAAATTTTACGTACTTACTGAAGATAATGCAGATCTGGGAATACTAGGAAGCAGCAGATCAAAAATGAAAATGTAAATATCAAGTTTCCCTATTTATTCTTTTCACTTTCAGTATATTACTGATAGAGATCTTTAATCATCTGTATGTTAATTTTCTTAGGTAAAACACTTTTCTTTCTTTCAGAGGGATCCTGGCAAAATTTGATTACATGAACATTTCAGATTAAGGTAAAAGTTATCCCTGCTGCTTTATATCACAGATTGTGTATGTAAGCAGAACACAGTCAATTCAGTTTGTTACATCAAGATAAAAAACATTTATTGATGTATCTATTGACATTTAATAGTCTATAAAATGATTAATCTTAATTACGAATTACAGACAAATTACCCATCTTTCTCCTTCTTCTGTCTTCATTTCAACACATAACGAAGGGCATAATAAAGGATTGCAAAAGAAAGAAAAAAGATAAATTCACGTATACTAGGAAATCAATCAGTTGTATATCAAAAAACTTCTTTTGACAATTTATCTTCCATGTGTCGTCTATAATTTTTATCTCTGTGAAAATGACAGCCTATTCTCCATCATTTCCTTGTTTGTGTTCCAAACAACAGGGATCTCCATGCTCTGAATGGGGAAACAGGATTTTTGATTTACCTTGATAGTTTGAAATATCTACTTTCATATTTCCCACTATAAATGGTGCAATTTGAGCACTGCCATTGTTAATCTGTATCTCTATGGTGGCAATGAATACCTGTGACAATAGCAGCAACTACTACTGTTGCTATGGTGCCTACTCAGATCCTAGTCACAGGGGTAACTTGACCTAATAACCTCCAGAATGCATGTCTATGATGACTTTCCATTATATAATGCCATTATTTTCCATGATGAATTCTCTAGCCTATCTCTGATGTTGCCCTTCTGCATTGTCTTGGGGGAAATACTGCTAAAATATATATAGTAACATGGCTAAGGGAGAATGGACACCATCACCTGTCTTTGCTGATCTGAAACTCTCAGAAGCTAACTAAATTACTAGATGATGGGAAACAATCCTGGTCTTCCACACTGATGAATGTACATTCATATCAGCTCCTAATCCAAGATACTAAACAGAAATGGATCTCTGATCTCCTGAAGTCACAACTTGAAGTGGTGAGACACTGGAATAGGTTGCCCAAAGAAGTGGTAAATGCTCCATCCCTGGCAGTGTTCAAGGATAGGTTGGACAGAGCCTTTGGGCAACATGGTCTAGTATGAGGTGTGCCTGCTCATAACAGGGGGGTTAGAACTAAAGGATCTTAAGGTCCTTTTCAACCCTAACTATTCTATGATTCTATGATTCCAGGAGGTTATTTATTGCAATATGTAACTATAAGTTATTACTAGATATTTTCTCTGCTTGTTCTGCAGTAACAAGTTTTTTGTTTTGTTACCTCATAATAAAAATGGAGGCAACTAATTTTTACTTTATTTTGCTTTATTCTGTCCTTTCCTCCAGCAATTTTGAAGAGAGAAAAGTCAGGAAGATGTATGCCCTTGCCTAAAATTGGATTGCAATATGAAAGTTCTTCAACATACGTTAAATAGTACTAGAAGCACTGAATGTTCCTGATGCTGTGCCAGAAGCCCATGTGAATTTATGTCTTTTTTTCCTGCTTTTAATTTTTGTTATCTCTTACTGTTAGTAATTCATTTTTCCCTTGATTGTTTACATAATGTGCTCTTATCTATGGTTCTGCTTCTATATGTTTAGAAGCATGCCCATATAAAATACCTAGGTTTTGATTCCTCTCACTTTCCCTGTAGATTCTCTATTGAAAAAAATGCACAGTAGCTTGTATTCTCAGTAAATATACAAGGAAGCTAAAAGTAAAAAAAATGAAAAGATAGAACACAAAGTTATTAAAATATAAAACCATTTTAATTGTTTGAGACACCTGGGAAACACCTATAGGAAAAGTTTTTATGTGTGTAAGCATGGATCCTCCTGCAACCTTCTCTTGCCAAGGCACCTTCACTGAGATCTATGAAGGGCACAGGATATGCACACAAAAGATAGCCACCTTAATAATCATACTCCTAGCTCTTTTTGTTTTGTCATTTAAGAAAGTCCTTAATACAATATTTTTAGCAAATAATTTCAAAGGATTTATTGATTACTTCACCCGTCAGGGAATTAAAACTAGCTCTACTTAGTAATTCAAAACCTCATAGTCTCACTTGGAATATGTTTGCATTTCTCTCCACATTGTCTCTGTGTTGTTTCTAGAAAACTATTTTTCGTCTATAGCAATACACCCACCACTATTCTATGTCTATCCACGTTGGAAGGATAGAAGGAGGAGGTGAATCCTCATAGCCAATAGAAAAATGAGTCACATTTTCTTACTTACTTAAATCCTAACACGTGGATTTCTTTGAATCCTGGAAGTTTCTCAAATATTTTTTGCATCTATAGAAAATAATAAAATCATTAATACATTGTAAGTTCTACTGGTAAAAAGCAAGCAAAGGTGGACTATCTGGACAATATTTTCCATATTTCAGAAAGAGCTTTGGGAAACAGTCTCAACTATTGCCCTCTGTGGTATCATCATTGCTGAACGCAAACACAGTATTTCATTTGTATATGCTTCCTGTATTACCTGTTAATAGGCAAAATTAAGTATGAAATACATCTTTTTTAGTAATGTAGTTATGTAAATAAGTGATAATCTAGTCCATAATAAAGCAAGTCAAATAAAATGAATCAAATATTTTTCTCATTTTCAGCAGTTTTGGTCTATGAATAACTTTGTGTTTCAAGTCACCTTAACTGTAAATAGTTAATTATTTAGAAATAGTAACCAAATGCAGGTGGATTTAGATTATTTGTCAGATCATTCCTAAATTAAGCAGTTATAACTGTCTTGTATAAATAGAATAACTTTGTATATTTTTAATTCTGATGCAAAAAATGTGCAGTTACATGATTTGAATAGAAAAGACAGTGTGAAGAATAAACAATGAGCAGAAAATGTTGAGTATACATTTTTTAGAGTTTAAGATAATAAATGTTTTTATCAGCACCTCAAAATTAACAATGTTTTGAGACCCAGCAGATTGATCTAGTCTTGTCTCTTTTCTAACTGCAGCAACATTTATGCAGCTAAGTCTAATGAAACATTTTATGTTGATCTACTATGTGAAAGGAACAGGATTTTTTTTTTAAACATAGTTCCACAGCTCCTTTCTGTTTCACTTTCTGGTCCTGTTAAGTACCAGGCAACAAACACATCACCTAAGCCTTTCATCTGCAAGCAAAGCCTGTGGGTTTAGGGGAATTCAGCACTTGAAAAGAAGTGAAAAAGCCTTTTGAGGAATCAGGTCCTTTTAATTCAGCATATCACTTAAAAAGTGCATGAGCTAATGTGGTGATCTTTCCTCTTCCTTGACTGTATTATTCTGTACAAACCCAGCATACATTTAAAACTCACCCATTCATGCATGAGCATTTGTCAGAGCAGGTGGGGAATGGCTGGTCAAACCCACACATTTCTTTGCATCTCTTACTTAGGTTAAGTGAAGAAGTAGCAGAAGATCAGTGTGTTAACACAATAACAGGTATGAACCACACCATATAAACCTAGATGTCTTTTTTATCACAGCCAACAGAAGAGACTACGGTGGCTAGCACAGAATATAGGTCTGCCATCTACCCTCCCCTTGTCCATCTCTTGGAAGAGGACAGCAGGAAAGGAATAGAAGTAAATAGCTCATTCTGAGCTTGGTCTGACTTAGTAAAAGTGGTGCAGAAGTAGCAATTAGACTGTGGGAAGATTTACAATGTTCATGTGACTAATGCTCTCTTAAAATAACAGAGATTAAGGGCCTCAATCACTAGAATGCAATCAATTTCCCTAAATTTAGACAAGCACTGTCATTTTAGATGCCTTAATGATGTCTTCTGCTCAGTTGCTGTTCTAAAGAGTCCAGCTCTGTCATATATGAGAGGCCCTTGCAGATGTATTGGACAACCTGAAGCATCTTAAATGGCACCAGATATCCATGTTTAGGTAAATGAATATCTTTTTAGGCATATTCTGCTAGCTGACTTTCTTGGCCAGTCTCTTCTTGCTTCTCTTAATATCACAATGAATTTGATGCCTTTTTAAAAACTGTATGCATATATGTGGCTTCCTATTTCCTGCTTTTCCCAAATTAATCTCAATTTACTGAGTAGTGTAATACATCTGAATCTGCATTCCATTATCTAGGTTATTTTAAATGTATATTGCAGTATACAGATGTACTTCTGAATATTTGCACTCTAATGTCTGCTGTAACTCTTCTTGCTGCATCCTGGAATTAATTATAAACTGAACTTGGAACTCAACAGCATCAACCTTCACAAAGCCTTCTCTGGAATTTGTACAGTAGCTCATGTAGCTGGAAAGGTTTTAATTGTGAATCTAATCTCCTCTTTCTCACCTTTTGATTGCATTCGTAAAACTGTCTTGTATCAAGATTGCCCTCTGCCTCCTCCATGGCCTATCTTTGGAGGAAAGCACATCGGGTGTATTTCATGTTACTGGAACACAAATAATTTTCTATTCCACATTGAATGTCAAGAACTGCTTTGGATCCTTTAAAGTGGCAGACAAAATCCGATGACAGTGGAAAATAATTGAACAGTCAAGAAACTTTGCATTTCTCCCCCTCCATTTAATGAGGTAACTTAAAAGCCAGATTATGAAATTACATCATTATATGTGTAGTAAACAAAATCGGCAGGCAGTTCTGTGGAAGGATAATCTGGAAATCTCCAGAGAAGGAACTTTTTATCAGCTCTGCCAAAACGTTCTTCAACATTTTTCTATGCATATCTGAAACTGAAGCAGGATAGTTAAATAGCTTACACTAAGGAATGCTCATGAAACGAATAAGAAGATGTAGTTAATTTTACTAAGACAATCTTTTAGAAACCTCAACTCATTAACTGCTATCTATTAAATTGATAGCTGAGCAGTCAATATTATTAATTATATGAAAACACCGCAGATGTTCCAGTTCTTACAGAAACTCTGGTAATGAAGAACAAAATGACTGGAAGTCCTTTGAAGAACAGTTCAGACAACAGTAGCTAATTACTTTTAACATTTATATTACATTTCTCAGTAGGTTTATTGTAGAAATTAAATTATAACAAAGTACTGTCCATGAATTTCTGATTAAACCCAAATGATATTCCTAAAGTTATTCTGTTCATCAGTTATCTGAGTCCCTACTGCTGACAAAGACTTGATAGCTTTGTGGCTGAACAGATGGCCTAAATGGGAGGAGAAGTTGACTATACGTGAAGGAAAAGTGAAGGTCTTAAGACAACAGTAATTATCTATTTCAAGTGAGGGCAGTAGATTCTAATTCTGTTTCATGGTGAAGGTAGTTTCAGAATATGAATCTCAGCCAAGGTAGAAAGCCAACATATTGGCATTCACCCAGCCTCCTTACCTGTAGCTGAAATTTTGCAGCTAGTTGTCTGTACTGTGGGGAGTTGGGATCATTAAGTTCAGCTGTGTACTCCTGGTCAGTGAGAGTGACACTGAATTCTACCATTTGCTCCACAGGCAGTTCTGGGACTGTATTTGTTCCCAGCTCCTGGAAGAAGAGTGGAGAGGAATTAAAAGAAAGAAATGAAACTAGGTGTGTTTTTTCCCCAGTATTTAATAAGTGGAAGGGTTACCTTTTGAACATATCCACAAAATAACTTCATATATAAAAATACAGCTCATCAGTTACAGAAAGAGAATTCTGTAATGTTCTACTATATAAACAGAAGATTATATATCTATATTAATTATATAGCTCCCCTATAGCTTTTGAGGAGCCAGCTTTTAGGGAGCTGATCACAAAGGACTAGGCCAAGGAAGAACGAGGAGACCAACAACATGGGGGAACTGATTAATCCCAATCTCCCAGTACATCTGAAATATCATAAATAAGTAATTTTAAAACCATTTTTTCCCTTATATTCTACCTGTTCTTTTGCTCCAACAACTATAATACACGTGGGTAACACACAGTTGAGAATATTAGCTTTATATTGCTGTTTTAAATTCTGAGGTTGTAATCATTTTGAACAGTAAAAATAGCATTTATATGGGATGACTCCAGTGCAGTTCCTGTGCCAGAGCTGAGAAGCTTGCAGAGGCAGGATGGAGAACAGTGGAGATTTGCCAGGGGTGCAATGGATGAGGCTTTGAGCAGCATTTCTGCCCTCAAATTCGTGGCAGAAGCAGCACCAAGACTTTGAGATCATCCAAGTGGGGAAGAGGTGACATGAGCCTCTTCCTTCAGCCAGTATGTACAAAAGAAAAAACCCAACCCTGGAGCAACTCTTCAAGGAGCTGCTATAGCAGATAAAATATCTAGAAACTGAAAAAAGGCTCAGAGCAAAGCCCAGGGTAAACAGAAGGGGCAAACTTCCTCCTGTGGCTCCTCAGCAAGAACGTCCACCCTCATGTCCTGGTAAGACCTTGGTCTTTCTCTAGGGGAAGGTTCTAGAAGGTTCCCTGAAGCAACACAGCTGTGCTGAGACCAGGGCCACCTCTTTGTCACCACCAGGTGCAGCAATTAGGAGAGGGAAAATAACAGCCCTTCCTATCATCCCTTTCTCTGCCTCAGACACAACCTGTGGTTGCTTCTATAAACATTTAGATGAAAAGATATTTGCTGCACGGCTCTTGTGAGGAGATTTCTGTGGATGTCTACTGTTTGGCAGCTGGCTGCCTGGCAAGTAGGTCCTGTACCATCTTCTGTGTTATAAAAAGCTCAGAAACCATTAGTGTTTACATTATTTAATGAGCATCAAGGTCATAAAATGGTGCAAAATAGGCAATGGGCCTTTTATTAAAAGAATGAAGGCCTTGCATAAAAGCTGTTGCAGTACTTTTATGCTTTCTACTGTGTATACAAGAAACATAACACGCTATTCCAGTACGGAATGGATGCTAATAAAAACCTCTAGTCCCATTAGCGGTAATAGAGGGGAGCAGTCAGGATTTATAAGTGCTAAGTGTTTATAAGATTTCCTCCTCTTTTCTTCTAGCTGAGCTCAAAACCAAGAGGTAAGTGAGAAGTGGAATAGCAAAATGGGCTGCTCTCACCTTCACAGGAATCTTCGTGTCATTAACAATTTCGTTGAGCAGTGTGCCATTAGGTGCAGTTACGTATGGAGTCATGGATGTGCCAGGGAAGCCTGGGGGGATTAAAAATGAAATCAGGCAAGAACGGGTTTGCACAGCAAAAATTACTATCTTTCTCTGTTGGTCAGGTGTCAACTCACTAAGAAGCTTTCCTTATGGAGGACGTGTTTGAGCAGAAGACTCTACTAGTGGAAGGTGCTCATGACTTATGGCATGGGTAAAACTGCTGCTTTTTATACAGTAAATGGCCTTTCTTTCCAGGTCAAAACATCAATAGCATTGTATGTGTGTGACTAAAGGCAAAAATGGCATGGACATCAATGAAATAATGTGAATTAAATTTGATAATTTCCTGTCATATTGTGTTGTATGTCACCTGTCCTGTGTTCAGCAGTAGCAGTCATTTTTCTCCTTCTTGGTAGCTGGTGCAGTGCAGTGTTTTGACTTTCGGCCTGGGAACAGAGTTGATAACTGATGTTTTGGTTTGGCCAAGGACTTTGTGAGCCTCATGCTCTGCCAGGGAGGAGGGGAAGCCAGGAGGAAGCAGAGACAGGACACCTGACCCAAACTGACCAAAGAGGTATTCCATACCACAGCACGTCATGCCCAGGAGGTAACTGGGTGTTACGCGGAAGGGCTGGGAGACTGCAGGGTTGGAGGAGGTATGGGTTGGTGCTTGGTTGGGCTTGGGGGTGGCGAGTTATCAGTTGGCTGGTGATGAGGTGATGTATTCTCTTCCCTTGTTATTTCCTTTATCATTGTTATTATTGGTGGTAGCAGTAGTGATGTGTGTTATACCTTAGTTACTAAACTGTTCTTATCTCAACCCGTGGGAGTTGCATTCTTTTCGATTATCCCCTCAGTCGCTCCAGGAGTAGGGGGAGGGAAAGAAGGGGGGGGAGTGAGTGAACGAGTTGTCTGGTTTGGTTTAAACCACGACATCACCAAATGTCTAAGCTCAATTTTGCCAATTGAGATCTTCGTCTCTGTGATAGCCACCTTTCTTAAAGGCTCAATTTAAAGCAACAAGAATCTTTGACAGAATTTTCCATCTAGGGACAAAATTACTATGCTGTCATTTTTAATGACATTCTGTCATATTTTCCCCTCAAAAATATGCATGCAGGATGTTTTGTCCTCGAACCAAACCACTTATATTTGCAGAATTTTACCATTGCATAAATTTCTAATATTATTTGAAAGAACTATAGCACACAACAGTTTTGGTAGGTCTATTTGGAATAATCTGCTCAAATGAATGTCTTGATATCATTGTGGCTTTTTGACTTGTTTGTTTTGGCTAACAGTGTGGCAGCTGACACTTTAAATGTTATTTCATAACTGAAGCAAAATTAGTTCTATTCTCTACAGGTGAAACTAGGAAAATGGGTGCATTTAAAGACTGAAACAAACTTGGAATGCTGCATCTGAGCAGCAGACATGGTGTAAACAAATAAAAAATTGCTTCTTATAGCTTATTTTGCTAAAGCATGTCATTGTACTTTACTGTACTTGTCATGCTTCTACGGCATTTGTTAAATTACAGCCTTCTAAGATCTGTGAATCACTGGTTTTAGCAAGTCTATTTAATGGGCAGGCACACAGCAAGCAGAATTGATTTTACCTGTAGGAATGGAAGAAATGTCTTCTAGCTTTTTGCCACCTGTTTTCTCTGTGGATATTTCATCTTTCCTATCAATCAAATAGAAAGGAATGATTTAAAGATCAGCATGCTGTACTAGCAATTGCAAAGGTGTAAAAAAACCAAAAAGGAAATAACCCCTATATTTAGTGTACTTTAAATGAGAGAATTTATTTCCGATGGAATATTTGATAAGCTCGTTAAACAGGCAATGGAACAGCAGATCATATTTTATGTTTAACATTTTATATATTTCCTTTCCTTTTTTTCAATATGATATTTGATTTTACAGTAAATAAAAATACTGATTTGATATATTCCTCTACCAAGGATTACCAGTCCGGTCAAAAGTGTGCTTATAAGTTTTCATGACTGATTTTTGCCAGCAGTTAGAGGGATGGTGTCACAAAGATTAAATCATTGCACAGGGTCTACTTTTTCTCCCTTTGAAGTTTATGAAAGATTGACAGCTGACTAAAATGGAATCAAGACTTCTTGTACATTATCTAAACCAACAACTGTTTCCTTTGCTGTATCTCTTCCTATTAAGATAGTTTAATGAGGGCTCTAGTTTTAGAACTAATGGACATCTCATGGTTTCAAGCGTGTCTCATATGGTTTGGTGTGAGGAGAGGATGTGTGACCTATTTTTCATAGAGTCATAGAATAGCTAGGGTTGGAAAGGACCTTAAGATCATCTAGTTCCAACCCTCCTGCCATGGGCAGGGACACCTCACGCTAAACGATGTCACCCAAGGCTCTGTCCAACCTGGCCTTGAACACTGCCAGGGATGGAGCATTCACAACCTCCCTGGGCAACCCATTCCAGTGCCTTACCACCCTTACAGTAAAGAATTTCTTCCTTACATCTAATCTAAACTTCCCATTTTCTATTGTCAGCCTGCATTATACTATTATAAGAATGCTTCCAACTAATGATAATTTCAAATCAGATTCCTGGATGAAGATTATTTTGAATTTTAGGAATGTTTATGACTGGATCTAGATGTAATATTCATGGATTAGTGCCTGCCATGGTCTCCATGGTAGGCAGCTGAAAACTCAAGAATATAGTGGGTGTTATGTACAGATTTTCTGCCTCACATCACAGGCTTTGGTTTTGTATTGTTGATATAATTTTCTGTTGCAAGCTTTATAGTCATGTGCTGATGAATAAATTGTGTAACTGAAACTGTTCATTTGCCTGAAAAGCAGAGGTGGTATGTATACATAAATACATTTTATAATAAATGTGTTAAATTTTAGTGGAGGTAAGTCTATAGAATAATTTCTGCTCTAAAACCAAAATGTCATTCATTTTTAGCTTTTGGAATCATTCATTATGTCATTCATTTTTTAGTTTTTGGAGTCTTAGATAAGAATCTTTTCATGTTTTGCTATTTTTTTTGTGAAATTTGTGGGTGAAGGATTTCGGCTGTTTCAGGTTCTAAGTAGTGTGATAAAAACCCCACAGCATAAAAAAAAAAAGGCCAATCATATAAATACATGAGGACAGAATTATGATTTCTATAGAAATAGCTGTTATTAAGGCAGTGCACTAGTGGTGGGTTTGTGAAAACTAATAGGAGTGAAGGAACTAAGGATACTGCAGATAATATATTGTGTTAACTGAGACAATGTGAAGCTTGTAGCATAGACAGAAAAGGTAGCTGGGCTGCATTTCTATACAGGACCAAGCTGGCTATTTAATAACATAAAGAACATGAAAAAACTGTATTTACCACATCCTCTGGATACCTTGTGTAGTGAGAACTAAAATATTTGTAGAGTTTTCACAATGTTAACTAATTATGTGTTATGTCTTTAACTGGAGACTGATTTCTTTACATGGCATCTACAGAAGATACAAAATGTTTCCCAAATCACAAAGTGCTAAAGATGAAGTTCAACAGTGCTTAATCATGTTTGCATGTATTTCCAATTAGAATATCAGTAATTTCATAGAATTTACTTCACTTTCTGAACTGTGTCTAGGGAAAACCGTACTGTACACAAAGAGCACAAGAATTGAGATCAGTCACTTTGGTTACTGCTTTGCTGCTGGTGTTTGCACTAGACTGAATGAAAAGACCTCCCTTTAGAGTTCTGGGAAGTTTAATTAGGCCCTACATTATTAAAAATATATTTCTGAGAAAGAATAATGCTCAAAGCTCCCATGTCATGATGAACAAACATACAAAAATCTTCTGTGATCATGAGACAGTGTAATTAAGGAGCAGGAATGATTATTTGCTGCACCCTAAAATCTAAGAAAAGTCAAAGGAAAAAAAATATATAAATCAGAGAAACTGTGAACAATGATTTGTCTGGCTGTACTGTAGTATTTATATGCAAAGTGACAGAATTCAGTATTGCAGCTTTAATCCTGCCATTCTCAGATTTCTGAGCATTGCCAGGAGACTTTTTTCTTTTTACAAGAATTTATGAAGTAAAGCATCACCTTATTTAACACTATGCTGATACATAAAAATGTAGGGCAAAGATAAAGTGAAGGCATAGTGTTTTTATATTACTGCTCAATGTAACCTCCAGATAAACTTTGATTAAAGGCTGAATTTCCTTTTCAGAATGATAGATGTTCTGGGTAATCTTTTGTCATGCTCCCAATCAACACTAGTCGAATGCATAGCCCTTGCTCTGTCACTGTTTCATGCTCACGTTAGTCAAAGAAGACATTCTGTAGGGTCTCAAGGTGAACAGGCAACTCAGACATTTGTCTACCTTCATTATTTGTTATTCAGTCACTGTGTACCATGATACCTACAGTATACAACACAGCTCTCACAGCACACACCAAATACATCACAGCGCTATCTGTGTATCATCTGTTCGCATCCATGCACATCTACACGTATCTTTTTCACAAAAGGCAGTAACATGAAGTAGCAAGGTTCTGCTTGTGCTACTTACCTTTCCTGGAAGGTTCTATGTTTTACTCGCTGCAAAAAGATTAAGAAAAACAACATTTTACTAGTTGGTGTATCCAACCATTGAGCAGAGTCCTGTTAGCTCTTTTGTTTATTGTACTTTTAAGTTTTCCTTCTAATACATGCCCCCTCCTCTTCCTGAACATTACTTTGCTTTTATAAAAGCAGATGGGGAGGGACTTGGGAGTCTCCCACAGTTTCTAAACAAATGTCAGTAATCCTTACCCGTTGGATTATTTCCAGGTGCTCTTGGGAGTTGCTGAAGTTTTTGCCAATGTCAAATATGCAGAAAGTTTCCCTCTGGCAGGCAGTAACCCAGTTCTGATATTCAGAAGTATCAGGAATCCGGTCAAAAAAAATACGAAAGGCTTCCCACACAGCTTCCTGGCAGACTGAGTAAGAAGAAAGAGGCTGGAGATGGATGCTTTGTAACAAAAAGTAAACTTGAAAGCCTTTTTAAAGTGATTTGGGATTTACACATTTTATTGTAGTTAGTAAAAAAGTCTAGCTTCTAGGTATTTTTAGACTTCTAGGTCTTTTAAACATTTCTGAGTTGGCAGTCATAGAATCATAGAATAGTTAGGGTTGGAAAGGACCTTAAGATCATCAAGTTCCAACCCCCCTGCATGGGCAGGGACACCTACCCACCTAACACTAAACCATATCACCCAAGGCTCTGTCCAGCCTGGCCTTGAACACTGCCAGGGATGGAGCATTCACAACCTCCCTGGGCAACCCATTCCAGTGCCTCACCACCCTTACAGTAAAGAATTTCTTCCTTACATCTAATCTAAACTTCCCCTGTTTAAGTTTGAACCTGTTTCCCATTGTCCTATCACTACAGTTCCTAAAGAACAGTCCCTCTCCAGCATCCCTATAGCCCCCTTCAGACACTGGAAGGCTGCTATGAGGTCTCCACGCAGCCTTCTCTTCTCCAGGCTGAACAGCCCCAACTTTCTCAGCCTGTCTTCATACGGGAGATGCTCCAGTCCCCTGATCATCCTCGTGGCCCTTCTCTGGACTTGTTCCAACACTTCCATGTCCTTTTTATGTTGAGGACACCAGAACTGCACACAATACTCCAGGTGAGGTCTCACAAGAGCAGAGTAAAGGGGCAGGATCACCTCCTTCGACCTGCTGGTCACACTCCTTTTGATGCAGCCCAGAATACGGTTGGCTTTCTGGGCTGCGAGCGCACACTGAAGCTGGCTCATGTTCATTTTCTCATCGACCAACACCCCCAAGTCCTTCCCCAGTTGCTTGGAATCTCTTCTCTGCCCAACCTGTAGCTGTGCCTGGGATTGCCCTGACCCAAGTGTATGACCTTGCTCTTGGCTTTACGCTGAAGGAGTAGCCATCTTTAAATTAACAATTGCTGATTTCTCTCATTTTGAAAGATTAATTTGGCTTGATATCATCATAGAATCATAGAATCATCATCATGGTGAATAAGGGGCAAACACAGAGCACACCTTCTTCATCTCAAAAGTACATATATCCAAGGATGCATATTGGATATTCTAGTAATATAGCAGTCATCATACTTGAATAATCACAATTTTAATTGTATTAAAAAAATTTGTGCACTACTATGTTAACTATGTTAGAAAAGATAAGCAGAACATATTTAAAATTTTTATATTTCCTACACAGATAAAAAATTTCTTAATGGAAAAATGCTACAGGCTAAAATGATTTCATTATATTCTAGATTTTCAAAGTAATTCAGTGTTTCAAAATCTTAAGTGTGTTCTACAGCAGGTACATAATTTTATGTTTCTTTAAACACCTGTGGAAAAATTGAATTACTTAATATCCGTTATTAAAAGTAAAATTCCTTTGAAAAGAAAGAACATGTTTTTGTTCCTCTTTACACTACTATACACAGTTATTTTTTCAGTGTTAGATATTTCCTCCATGGTGATGAATCACTTGGTAAAATGCCAGGCTATATCACACAAGATTAACATGTACTTTGGCTGCAGAGTGAACAGTAGTGTTCCGTATCATTTGGGGAATGAGAATGAATATAGAGAGTAAGACAGAAGGGAAGACTTTAAAAAGATGATATTCAGGAATGGGTTTAAGGGAACTTAATTTATTGGATGCAAACTGATTATGTGAAACACATAACAATGGAGATTTTTACATATTCAATTGGCTCAGTCCTTCTGCAAGAAAGCTGTGAAGTTCAGATGCAGTATGTTCCAAAATACATTAGAATACCTATTTTGGCTTGGCATCTAGTTTTTTGATCTATTTTTCTAGCAGTCGGAACTCTGTCAGGCATTTAAGGGAAAAATTGCAAAAGATAAGTTCCTGCTGCAAAGACCTTGCTCTCTAGCACTGAGACATGCATGAATATGTGAGGGAGAGGAGAAAGCAGCAGCAGCAGCTAGTTCATAAAGGTTTACTTTCCATTGATGATTCTGGAAATGCAGGTCTTGCATATGTTTGCAGAAGTGAGGTTTTGAGAGTCACAAAGGTGGATGGTCAGGTGGGCCTATGCTTCTGAATAAACTTTTGAAAACGTCTTGCTGAAGTTTCCTCTTCTTTGTAAGTTGAAAAGATCCCAGAGGATGAACTGTTTCCTCCTCTAGACAGCCACTGCCTACCTGACTAACTATGCTAATATATATTGGGTTATAGTTAGATACCACTCCACACACAAAATATTTGCGCTTCAGCAATTGCAGCTGGAGAAGACTGGAGAGTGAGACTAGATGAGAACAACAGCTCTGCAGACACCAAGAAGGAGGAGGAGAGGAGATGCTGCAGGTGCTGGAGCTCAGATTCCCTTTCAGTAACCAGCATTTCCTGTCCCTCTGTGCTGGGGGGAAGGAGGTAGCAAAATCAGGAGTGAAGTTAAGCCTAGGAAGAAGGGAGGGGTGGGGGTGGGGATGTGATTTTAAGATTTGGTTTTTATTTCTCTTTATCCTATTGTGATTTGATTGTTAATAAATCAAGTTTTCCTCAAGCTGAGTCTGTTTTGCCTGTGACAGTAATCAGTGAATGATCTCTCCTTGTCTTTATCTTGACCCATGAGTCTTTCATTATGTGTTTTGTCCCCTGACCAATTGAGGAGGAGAATGATAGAGTGGCTTTGGTGGGTTAACATACCACACACAGGCTGTCCTCTGAAATCTGTGTGTGGTGGATTCACAGATACTGTGCAGTGTCTGAACTCAGTTGTGTAGGATAACCAACATGGCTCTGTGCCTGCTAGAACCAATGTCTTTTGAACAGAACCAGTTCAGTTTATCTCAGCTGTTGCTATACCTTCCCATTCATGGGTGATGACTGCCTCTGTCACTGCTTGCTGATTGCTCTGGTATTAGAGTCAACAAAGCCAGCTATACTTTTGGCTTTGTGAAAATATAATTTACATTCAAGATGAAGGAACACTTATCCAAAATGTTGTTTAAAGTTAAATACTTTTGTAGAATGCTATCTTCAAGCATTAGAAGTAAAATTTAAAAAAAAGCTTGCTAGCAATTTAAAAGCTGTTGCCTTTAGCACTTTGCAAAGCTCATTACTGTGAGAAGGGACATTTATTTTCAGTACTTGATACCTGCTTTGCCTTAGAGTGAGATAATTATCTGTATCACACAGTATCACTGTATGTTAGAGATTGGAAGGGACCTCGAAAGATCATCTAGTCCAATCCCCCTGCCGGAGCAGGAACACCTAGATAATGTTACACAGGAATGTGTCCAGGCGGGTTTTGAATGTCTCCAGGGAAGGAGACTCCACAACCTCCCTGGGCAGCCTGTTCCAGTGTTCCGTCACCCTCACTGAGAAGAAGTTTCTTCTCAAGTTTAAGTGGAACCTCTTGTGTTCCAGTTTGTACCCATTACCCCTTGTCCTATCATTGTTTGCCACTGAGTAGAGCCTGGCTCCGTCCTCGTGACACTCCCCCTTTATATATTTATATACACTAATAAGGTCACCCCTCAGTCTCCTCTTCTCCAAACTATAGAGACCCAGGTCCCTCAGTCTTTCCTCATAAGAGAGATGTTCCACTCCCCTAATCATCTTCGTTGCCCTGCGCTGGACTCTCTCCAGCAGGTCCCTGTCCTTCTTGAACTGAGGGGCCCAGAACTGGACACAATACTCCAGATGCGGTCTCACCAGGGCAGAGTAGAGGGGAAGGAGGACCTCTCTCGACCTACTAACCACCGCCCTTCTAATACACCCCAGGATGCCATTGGCCTTCTTAGCCACAAGGGCACAGTGTTGGCTCATGGTCATCCTGTCGTCCACTAGGACCCCCAGGTCCCTCTCCCCTACACTGCTCTCTAACAGGTCGTTCCCCAACCTATACTGGAACCTGGGGTTGTTCCTGCCCAGATGCAGGACTCTACACTTTCCCTTGTTATATTTCATCAAGTTACTCCCTGCCCAACTCTACAGCCTGTCCAGGTCTCGCTGGATGGCAGCACAGCCTTCTGGCGTGTCAGCCACTCCTCCCAGCTTAGTGTCATCAGCAAACTTGCTGATAGTACATTCAATTCCCTCATCTAAATCATTGATGAATATATTAAATAATACCGGTCCCAGTACTGACCCTTGAGGCACTCCACTAGTTACAGGCCTCCAACTAGACTCAGCCCCATAGACTACAACTCTCTGGCTTCTCTCCTTCAGCCAGTTCGCAGTCCACCTCACTACCTGATCATCCAGTCCACACTTCCTCATTTTAGCCGCGAGGATGCTGTGGGAGACTGTGTCAAATGCTGTGCTGAGGTCAAGGTAGACCACATCCACCTCTCTGCCATCATCCATCCACCGTGTTATTTCCTCATAAAAGGCTAAGAGATTGGTCAAACATGATTTCCCCCTGGTGAAGCCATGTTGACTGCCCCTCATAACCTTCTTATCCTTGATATGCCTTAAGATGGTACCAAGGATAAGGTGTTCCATCACTTTCCCAGGGATGGAGGTGAGGCTGACCGGTCTATAGTTACCCGGGTCCTCCTTCTTGCCCTTTTTGAAGACTGGAGTGACATTTGCTTTCCTCCAGTCCTCAGGCACCTCTCCCATTTTCCAAGACTTGGTAAAGATGATGGAGAGTGGTCTAGCAATGACTTCCGCCAGTTCCCTCAGCACCCGCGGGTGCATCCCATCTGGACCCATGGATTTATGGATGTCCAGATTGCTCAACTGTTCTTTAACCCATTCCTCATCGACTAAGGCAAACCGCTCCGTCGACCTGACTTCATCTAAGGTCTCAGGGGTACAGGGCTCTTCAGGACTGCCTGCAGCAGAGTAGACAGAGACAAAGAAGGCATTCAGTAACTCTGCCATCTCTTTATCTTCTGTCACCAGGGCACCCATCCCGTTCATCAGTGGGCCTACATTGCCTCTGGTGTTAGTTTTGTCTGCCATGTATTTGAAAAAGCTCTTTTTGCTGTCCTTGACCCTTCTTGCCAGGTTTAATTCTAAGGAGGCCTTAGTCATCCTAGCTGCCTTCCTACATCCTCTAGCAGCAGCCTTATATTCCTCCCAAGTGGCCAGCCCCTCCTTCCATGACCTGTAAACTCTCCTCTTCCACTTGAGCATACACAGCAATTCCCTATTTAGCCACGCAGGTCTCCTGGCCCTCTTCCTTGACTTTCTACGTGTCGGGATGCTCCGATCTTGAGCACGGAAAAAGCAGTCCTTGAATGTCAACCAACTATCTTGGGCCCCTTTACCTTCAAGCAGCCCTGCCCATGGGATTTCCCCTAGCAATTGCTTGAAAAGGCCAAAGTTTGCCCTGCTAAAGTCCAGGGTTGCAATTCTACTTGGTATTCTACTAGTCCTGCCACACAAGATCCTGAACTCCACCATCTCGTGGTCGCTGCAGCCAAGGCAGCCCTCAACCCTTACTGCTTCGACCAGATCCTCCTTGTTAGTGAGGATGAGATCCAGCAGCGCTCCTCTCCTGGTCGGCTCATCCACCATTTGCAGGAGGAAGTTATCATCCATACACTGGAGGAACCTCCTGGACTGTGGCTGGGTTGCCGAGTGGTCCTTCCAGCAAACATCAGGGAAGTTAAAATCCCCCACGACGACCACGGCCTGTGACTGTGAGGCCGCTCTCAGCTGCCTGTAGAAGGCCTCGTCAACTTCCTCACCTTGATCCGGTGGTCTGTAACAGACACCTACAACAATATCCCCCCTGCCAGCCTGCCCCTTAATTCTCACCCACAGACTCTCAACTCGCTCATCATCTGTCCCTGGACAGAACTCGGTGCATTGTAGTTCCTCCCGCATATAAAGAGCAACCCCACCACCCCTCCTGGCTGGCCTGTCTTTCCTGAAAAGGACATAGCCCTCCATGACTATATTCCAGTCATGTGAGCTGTCCCACCACGTCTCTGTAACTGCCACCAGATCATAGTCCCTGACTTAACACAGGTTTCCAACTCCTCCTGCTTATTTCCCATGCTGCGCGCATTGGTGTACAGGCATTTCAGGGAGCGAGCTGAGCACACCGATTTCACCCTAGGATTATAGGAGGCCTCCCAGTCTTCATTAATTCTGGAGTGCTGCCCCACTGGGGCAAGTCCAGCTACAAGCCCATCCCCCTTCGAATCTAGTTTAAAGCTCTCCAAATGAGCCCTGCTAATTCGTGCCCCAGCATCCTTTTCCCTCTGTGAGACAAACCTTTCTCACTTGTCATTGTCCAGACTGGTGCCCTATAAAACCAGCCGTTATCAAAGAATCCAAAGCCCTGCCTGTAGCACCAGTCTCGAAGCCAATTGTTCATGAACTGAATCTTCCCATTCCTTCCCACATCAGTGGAAGATGGAAGGAGAGAGGAGAAGATCACTTGAGCCCCAGACTCTTTCACCATCTGCCCCAAGGCCCTGTAGTCTTTCTTCATCCCCCTCAGACTGCGGGAAGCAGCTTCCTCCCCACCTGTCTGGAAGACCAGCAGCGGGTAGTAGTCTGTTGGGTGCACCAGGTTGGGGAGCGCCCAGTTCCTATCTGTATTTCATATTGGTGTGTCTGAAATTAGTATAATCAGTTTTTCTAGGTATTTTCTAAGCTTGCTGTAGGGGTGAACTCACCTAGCTGTGTCAGGGCACCTCAATAATACCTCAGAAACAACCTGCCCTCCCAGTAGAGCAGCTGCATGTGGAGCAGATGTGGTCAGACTATTAAAAAGGAATATGCTGTCTTTTGAAGAGACTTGCTCATTATCAGCAAGCACCTAAGCTGCGTTCTATCATCTTTTTCTTACAACTCTGTTATCTGTTCTTCTGAGCATGAACTGGTGAATAAATATATACTATTTGATGAAAAGTAATCCAGTTACCAGAGTTTAGTAAACATGACACCTGCAGAGCTGAGGAGGTGTCACAGATGATTCCATGCATGAGGGACTGTCTTCATGGTGACTTAAGCTACGGTGTCTTATTGGTATAGGGTCACATTAGGCTCAGGGTATCAAGTAGCAACTGTCTGTGCCGCTTTGTGTTGTGTGCTCATTCCTGAAAGCATGGAATAGGTATATGTAAAAAAAGTTAGGAAAAAAACTTGTACTTTTTCTTAGGAAGCAATGAAATGAGGGCAGGTATGATCCATAGTGCCATTACAATTCTAAATGGAGGGGTGGAAGTGGTCTCCTAGACTTTAGATACAGAAAAGAACGGACATAAAGGTACAAAATTATTGTTCCATGGATAGGCATATGCTATGAGACCCCATTGTGTCTACCAGATTATCTTTTCATGAAGGCTTGTACTGTCACTACAGCTTCAAGGATAATGCTTGCACCAACACATTGTCACTTTTACCTTTTTTCATTTACCACTTTCACCAGGTAAATTGACATGCTCAGCTGGGAGGACAGAAGGCTTGGGTTTGGATCTTTTCTTGAAGGAATGATTTTTTTTGTTTTTGAGTTTTTAACAAAAGACATTGTAATTGAAAATGTGTAGATATTCAGGGGAGCAGAAACACCTTTTTGCTGAATGAGCGGAAAAATTATTCAGCTGCAGTCATCTGTTCTCTTTTATACTTTTGGGGAAGTACTCCAGCTTCAGCTTCAGAACTGGATGATGCCTACGCAGAGAATTTTGTGAGTGTAAGACACTGCTGAGAAAGAAGAGGCATAAGTTTAAACCTGCTTGCACTACAAGACTCAGAGATCCCAATATTCCATCTGATGGGTTGCTCTCCAGAAAGGTGGTAGTATTGTCATCATCAGTTTTTAAATGAAAATGTCCTAGTTGCAGTTCTTTGAGTTAAGGTCAATGATACCAGCCTTTCCCAGGATAACTTACTTTCGGGGATATGACCAGTGAGTTTTAGAAACTTTGAAGATTGATTACTATTTAAGAAAGGCTTCTTGGATCAGTCTCTTTAAAACATTTCAGAATTCTGTCTAATTGAGTTGGAATTCATTCCGACAATGGACACCAAATGTGTTTGTATCTATAGGAACTGATAAAGACATTGGTGTAGTTTGTCTATTCTGCCTATAGCAAGTGGACCATGGATAAAAATTTTTGCAGCTCTGCATCTGGGTTTTATATCAGCGGGAACTAGCTGGTTCGCTGAAAGAGAACTGAGGAGCAGGCAAGTTAGATACATGCAACTTGCATTGGTTGAAGTCCAACATAGAGATCAAATAGGTAAGCAAAGCTGATTTAAGGAATATGCTAGTTGATTTAGAGAGATGTTACCTTAGATGCTTGCATCCTAGAAGTGCTGACTGGATTTTAGAATTAGCATTGGACCATCTAGCTAAAGCACAGAAATATGCATTTTTCTAATGCAAATTTGAACAACCACAGAATGAAAGACTGGGAGAGGTAGAGGGAGGAAGAGAGGAATCATGAAAAACATGGACCTATTTTCACTGTGCTCTCTAGAGGCTGAATTGGACTGGTAGTTCTATAGGCTTTCTACAATCAAGAGAGGTAAAGAAGGGCTGGAGAGGGAGTGAATTAATTGGGAAAGCGCAGAAAAACATTCTAGGCATTTTAAAATTTAGACTGAGGTCTTTGAACTCCTGGCAATTATCTCAGTGTTTGCATCATGCCAACACTGCCACAGACTTAATATTAACTACATATCCACCAACTTTTTTATGCAGTGACTGATGAATAGTTTCATCACTTGTCTTGAGCTGGTGGGGTTAATTCTGAGTAGCAATGATGATACTGCACTTTTGAGAAAGCTGGTACATCCTTACACAGTAATGCAAGCATAATTTGGTCTTCATGTTCTGCCATGCTAGAACACTATGCAGTTACACTAAGTTCATCAGTCTTTTGAGTGCATTGTTTGTTCTGTTCTGGTAACTGTCTGCCTTGAATGATGCTGATGTACAGGAAACATTTGATTGTCTGTGTAAAAATAAAGCATAAAGCAAATAGCATGTACATTGCCCGGAGCAAGAGAACAAGATTCTGGATAATTGTTTCTTCAATTAAAAAGAAATATTTTCAAGAAAGAAGTATATACTGCAATCATGATCTTACCTCTTAATCTATAATAAGCTTGGTGACTTGCCAAAATCTGCTTCACTGATTCTTGTGGGCAAACTTTCACACCAGTTGAGAAAAAGGATGACCTCTTTGTTCGGTGCTTTGCCATGTCAAATATCCGCCTTATGGTTGATATTCTGGACCTCTTTGTTGTTCTTTCTGTTTTTTCTGACCCTGAGGCCTCTGCAAGATGTTTGGCTTCACCACGGTTTAGTTTATTAGGGATTTCTGGAAAAGAAGAAAAGCGAGCATGTACATAAACATACATTGCATAGGCAGTAGGTATCCAATGCAAGACCATGTCTGGAAACTGGCAAGGACCTGAGTGTTCTTTTTGTTACGTTTCATTGGTGTCAGTGACTTGACTGAATTACTACGCTGAAGAGAAATGCCCTGTGATCACACGGGGGAACTGGAACTCAAGAGACCTGGTATCTGATTTCCTTATATCTCAATACATGATTCCAGGACACACAGGGTAAAATTTTTCAAAAGCCCTAAGTTTTGTTTTCTGAAGTGACTTTGGGTTAGATCCACAAAGTATAGTTAAGTGCTTGAACTTAATGCTACAGCATCTCATCTGTGAGCATGTCACCTTGTAGAGAAATTTACAGTACAGTGATAACAGTCTGGAGCTTGGGGACAGTGAAACATATCTGTGTCAGCTTACAGTATAAAAAGGTGTCTATGCTAGCAGGTAAGTAAAATGAGAAATAGTTGTACCTTAAATCTGCACCCTTTTAAGATATTCTTATCTTTCCTTTGGGCTTCAAAGCACATCTCCCTTCACATCAGGTTCATGGACTTGAACCCATCCCAAGAACTGGACCTGAAACACTTTTATTTCCAAGAGCTGAACAGAAGTTTTATTGAAAGAAAATGCTGTTTCCAGTCTCCCTTTTTTGCTCCACAGTGTGCTTCTCTCTCCTTCCCCCACATAGACTAGAATATTAATCAGAGCAGACTGCAATTATATTTCTTTGCCACCCAATGATTGGTGGTGTATCTCAATAAATCTCTATTTTTGGTAAAGTGGAACAACTACAGTAGAAAAAAGTGAAAACAGTGAGGGGGAATTGGAGATCTAGGCTTAAGTTTTACTGATGGAGCTATTCAGTTACAAAAAATGTTTCTAGGGTGTCAAAATGGCCTCAAGCATAGGAACCCCCATCTTAAAAGGCGCATAAAAATTCAGGACTTAGTTTGTTCACTTCCAAAGTGCTTGTGATGTGGTATTACGTGACATAGCAAAATTTAATGTAAAAATTTTGATGATAAAAGTAGCATCTCAGGTACACATTTAAATGAGCTGGAATATGGCATTTTGCAGGATCATGTAACAAGCAATTAGTATCTGAGATCGTCTTCCAAAATTTTGCATACATTTTAATAAAAACGTTAAAGTTAATTTGGAAATTCTTTTGTTGGGTTGCATTTTCATACATTCGATGCAGTTATTACAGAATAAAAATAAAGAAATAACATAAACAGAATAAAAGATATTTTGAAAGATCTGTTTTGAAAGGAAAGTGTAAAATTTGCAGATAATTGGAAAACTTTAAGGGAGAAAATGAAAGAAAGACATAGAATATGTGTATCTGAATGATGAATTGAAAAAATTGCTTTGAAGAATGGTTTAAAAACTTGTTAAAGAAGAATAAAGGGAAATAACAGGGCTTACTGTGGCTGTAATACTATAAAAATAAATTATTAGTTTGCTGGAAAAGAAGGAATGTAATGCTGCATATAACACACTAATCATGTTCTTAGGCAAATCAAGAGAAAATAAAGAATGTGAAAACACATTATCTTGGTAATCTGGAACTGTGTTAAATGTTTAAAGAAAAGTGGGCAGATGACGAGAAAAATAATTGAAAGGCATGAAAGGCACGCTGTTAGAAAAAGGATAGCTCTTGGAGTAAAGAATGAGAAAAGCTCTACCATATATGTTGGTGTTCATATGTGTATGTATATATATATGTTTCAGTTCTTATTTAACTTCAAAATGAACACTTAATCCTTACTGTGTAGAAATCATATATTTATTATGAGATAGTTGGTACTCTAGTATGGAAAAAAGTTGACTGCTTGATTATGATAAATATTATATGAAGATGGGGTTATACAATGAAAGCAACAGGTGGTTGTTAATGCTTTGTAAAGCATGTTGGAGGCAGCAACCTCTGCACCAACTGTTTAGTTGTTGCAAGGTAATTTCAAATAATGCAGTCATATAGTGTTTGCTGTTAAATGAACTGGAAGTAATTTTTCCACAGTAATGTCAGATCATGAACCATAAATACAGATTGCATAAAAGGAATTTCCCCTGTGAAAACAGGGCTCTGGGTTCATCAGAAACCACAAGTGGCCAAACATCGGATCAGTTAGACATTAATTATTTGAATGATACGTGGGGTGCGAGAGAAAGATCCAAATGCCATTGAAAACTCAACGCAGATTTCTGAAATCCTCTAGGAGAAAATGCCAAAAATTTCTATGGAAAGTAGGCAGTTGTGAGTCTGTTACCTTTTACAAGATATATTAACTGTAAAGGATCAGCTGCCCAGGCAGTCTGACCAACTGGGGCAGAGGATTTTGTCACTAAGCACTTTGCCAGCATTCGCGTGGAGTAGAGGCCTTTCTTGAAGGATTTGCTTCTTCCCCAGGATTTACCCCTAAGTTTTTAACTTGAATTAAGAATTGCATTATTCATAACACTGACAAAGGAGATTCTTCTCAAATGATTGTAGCAATGATTTCAAACTCTGATATGACAGGTTTACTGTTGGGCTTTTTAATCTGAGAAGGTAACCATGCATTCTCTGCTTCCAGCTGTCACTGTTCTGCTAGCCCGTTCAGGGGAGGCATAATTTCTTTCTCTTTTCATTCTTTCGTTTCAATTTCCATATTTTTTTTTAATTTGTGTGTGTGTGTGTGTGTGAGGGATCTGTTGGTTACGTATACTTATTGTAATAGGTTTAATTTAATTTATATCTTGTGGTTAATAAATTTCACTTGCTAGAGTAAACTTTTGGTAACACTGATTCTTGAAATCACCTTTTTTACTAACTTAAGCAAAATTTGAACTAGAGAAATCAGCCCCTCTCTCTACATGAATGTCCAAAACTTCGTAATATTTGCTGAATGTGAATACAAAACCTGTCTTCTGGTATAAACAATATTTGTTCATAATTCTTCAGTCCTGTGCTTTCCCTTGCACCTGTGTAAATTCTGAACTGAGAATTCTTTACTTAAGACTGCCAGAGGGCTCAGCCACATCATTTCCTGTAGTATGCATCCATCTGCAACTTTTCAGATGCTTTGTTTTCAGTGTCGTGGGTTGGGAAAAAAAATATCACAAAAGACTTGTGCTATTATGAAATTGAACCTATTAATTTTAGCTGATCCCTTTTTACCACGCAACACAGTAACTGAGTAAACTGGAGTGGTGCAAATTTTACAGATCATGTAAAAAAAAAAAATAAAATCCAATAGTACTGGGCTGTTTTACTTAAGTGATTTTCGTAATTTTGTTCTTGTTCTCTTTTATCAAGAGAACAGTATGCCATTAATATATTTAGTGTTTACCCTGTCCAATTTGACTTTTTAATTCTGTTGTTTCACAAAGATGACTGTCTCAGCTTTACCTTTCAAAAGTATGTCTGAGATTTTTAGTTTGCTTTGACAGTTCTAGGGCAGAAGGGCAGATAACTGTAAGAGTCCTATAACAATTTACTGCAATTTATCTTAGTCTGTAAGGTGTCCTAAACAAAGCTGTAACTGTACTTTATTCTCACATGAAAGAATTTTCATCATTCACCCCATTTTCTACGTGGCATACTTGAGGAAAAAAGTTGCTATTGATCTACAGGTGATCTACAGGGTCACTGTCAGCCATTATTAAAATTTGGAGTTCCTGACTTCTGGGCCTGAACTTAGACAAATACAGCAAAAGACTTTCAAAATATGGCAAAGTAATTTCCCAAATATTCCCAAAATTTCCCAAGCATTCTTATTCATACAGGGCCTAATCGAAGTGCTTCGATGTTCATACAGGTCTCTCAAGCACATGGTATCGTTTCTCGGGTTTTGTTTTCAGACAGGTAAATGGTATTGATCTCTCAAATTAAAAATCTAAAATCATTAGAATTAGGCCAGGCCTCACCCCTGTGGTTTTATTAAATTTATACCCTCATTAAATTAATCATTAAATTATTACATTTATATCCTCACTAAAAAAAAAATAAAACCAAGTCAGGAGAAACAGATTTAAAAAGAGACAGTTCCTATGTGGTTTCAATAATCTGCATTGTGAAAAGGGAAATTACATCAATATTTACCTGCATTCTAGAAAAAAAGAGTTTAAAGCCATTCAAATAATTGGCCAGTGTTTCGTTGTTGGGTTTATTTTCCTTTTATAAACACAGGAGCAAGAAAATTGTATTCATACTATTTTTTTGTATAACTGTAGAAGATGCTTTTCTACACAGCTTTATTCATTAGTAGCTGTTGATAGTATCAGTTTTGAGCAGCCTCCAATTTTATTCCGGGTTTTGGGTTTTTTTTTCCGCAATCTCAGTGTAGCAACATTTACCTACAGCATTAACTTGGAAGTACACATTTGGTTTCATTTGACCTTAGGAAGTTAAGATGTCATTGTATACAAAGAGAAGAATTTAAAATATGATAATTAGAGGTTTCAGCGGCAAAATTCAAAGTGACATCAGCACAAAACTGTTGAAGGGGCTTAGATGAACAGGGACAGATTAAAATATGGCATGACTTTATCACCAAATGCAGCCTAAATCCTCCATGAGTACTAGGAGCAGCACCCATCTTCTCCTAGAGAAACATGCAACAAGTTTTATCCTCCCATGCAGATGCAGAACTAAAGGCCCAGCCCTTATACTCTTGCTGATGTCAAGGGCTGCTTTGCCAGACACTATAGATCTGCCTGTGTTTGCATTTCCAAGTTTGTTTTCACAACCATGAAGTCTCACAACTTAAAGAACTGGAAAGTATGGAATCCCATATTAGAAAAGTTAATACTAATAATTAATCCGCTCATGTCTTGTCTCTGAGAGATCAGTGCTCTTAAACACAAGGTTACATGTCTTGCCTGTACTTATATTGGGGTCCAATATACCCTTTAACTACTTTATATACACATTGGAAGAACTTTGAGAGTAATTATTGAGGGGACTCTGCCCCAGCAGTTATTGCATTCT